CTTTATATCAATGATGATATGTAGAATAAATGAAAAGATATCCGTGTATATTTAAAATTTCGATAATCCATTCAGATTTTCATCTCATTTTTCTGTGTTGCTTCATTAAGCGACGAAACTTCCTCACTGGAACTTAATCAAAACAATAGTTTTTTAATTAATGACATCTATTCATCTTACTATAATAAAGGATATTCGATGCATCGCTCATTGATAAATAAATTATCGCAGTGAAGTACAAAATTAAATTAATTTTTAGTTTTTATCGATAACATCTAGTATAATATTCTATCAGTTGGAACACTTTTCAAATTCAGAAACTTTTAAAGATTGATGTAATCCTGCACATAAATAATCTATTCAATCTTGATAAACTTAAATAAACTCTAAGTTTTGATATGGATTTTCGGCGATGGCTTCAAAACATACTTTAATGGAATTCAGGCTTATTGCACGTATGTATTCATAAAATCAATATGATAAGATAAGAACTGTCAATGTCTTCTTCAAATCGAAGTTGATTATAAATAGAACCAGATACCCAAAGATTTCTTTTAATACATTTTATTCTTTTTTCTAAATGATTAACAATTATTTTTGCTTATCACACTAACTTATTATTGGGAGACAGTAGGTGATGACTGCTCACAATGATATCTTATTATCGAAATTAATGCAAAGTCAATTTTTTTTACAAAATTTTTAAGTATTAATAAAATCACCTAGTATTATTGCTTGAGTTAAAAAGGTAATTTGAAAAAAATTGAAGTACAAAAGTTTTACTTACTTGCAGACCAGAAAATTGCAAAGAAATAATAATAACAGAACTGGAAAAGTTTACCTTTGTTCATAAGAAAAGAAAACAAGAATATCCTTACATATTTAAAGTTTAGCTTGTAACTGCAAGAATTTCTCAATCCATTTATTTACTGCGTACGCTAGGATATTACATATGTTGCAATTATCAGATATATTTGTGATAACTCAGTTTCATAGCAAAAGTAAGAGCATATATTTTCTATCATGTAACGATAATAGAAAATATATGCTCTTACTTTTGCTATGAAATTAAACTTATTCACTCTAGGTGCTTCTAAAGTTCACAGTTATCTTAACCTTACTTCATTTTTAGTGTTAGTATTATGACACAGCACTGACAAATAGTTTTTCTTCAGTTACTTTTTATCTAAATTTGTCATAGTACTAAATCTTTGCCTTTTTCAAAATGTCAACATATAAATATTTTTATTCTGGAATCAGTTTTACTATGAAATGCGCTTTTTCTAACGGTGACATCAGAAGAATAATTGACGCCCACGCCAAAAACACTAAAGAATTTTCTTTGTTTTGCTTTTAAAAAAAACTTGTCACATTATGCATAAACTTGTGATGTATTATTATGGAATTTTATTCCTTTATATATCAAATCAAATCTTGGAAATTTCGTATTAAAAGAAATAAAAAGACAAATTTTACATTATTTATTAAAAAAAATACAAAACGATATAAAATATAAAATGCAACAAATTGCTATATTAATCTATATAATCACAGTTATTTGTGAATATGAATGAATACCACAACGAAATTATATGCCTTATTCTTCCTCTATGCAATTAATTTGGGTACTTTAATAATAAATGATGAATTTGAAAAACTATCAAATGAATATTTTTAGAATTAAAAAAAAGTAACTGACAATGCAGGAAATATTTTAAAAAATTTTTTGTAAAAAAAAAGAAAATATGATTAGAATATGCAGCAGAACACATCTATTTCCTTCATTTCATTTCCAAAGTGCATTGAAATTTCGCTTAGCAGGGTTTTTCTGAAAATACTTTTTTATCAAGCAATTTACTTTTAAAACTGATAGTAGCATCATAAGTTAAAAACTCTGTTTCACGTCTCCATGTTTAAGTTTTTCAATGTACCATCATAAAAAAACGCTGCTACTCACTTTTCATATTTCAAAATCAAAGTAATCTCATTTTTTGCGCGCGTAGTTTTGTGGGAAATAAATATTTTTTTAAGTAGGTAATATATAAGTCAGCCTGAAAAACAACTTTCAGAAATAGCTCACTGTTTTATTTTAACAATTTTGTTGCAGTATTAACAGTTTTCAAAGTTATAAAAAAAAACCTATACTCGAATTAATTAGTATGTTCTCTAATCTTAAAGCATAACGTAGCTTATAAATGATGAAAGAAATTAGCTATTTTTTATCCATTTTTTCATCACATACTACACCAAAATATAATCTTGGACCAATATATATACTTTCAATCTTTGTTACTTTCACACATATTAAAGCAACTAAATCCACTCTCACATTCTCTTCATCTGATGCACTTTTAACAATAAAGTTAAGTATAAAGTCTATTTCATCAAGATGATAAATAAGCTATAACATGTTTGTATCACTTAATGATAAAATGAAATGCAAATAATCTTCTCAAAGTTTCTACCTATACTTCTTTTGCATTTGTAAAATGATGTAATGAATTATGTTTGATTAAATATGTAGAAAATAATATGCATATGGAAATCACTTAACTTATCGATATAGACTAATCACTTTCAAAGCTTATTGATTCTTTCGTTCTCAAATTTCATAGAATAAATGATAAAGATTGCAGTCTACACAAACCTGTTAAAAAAATATCGTTATTCTTGTGATAATTTTTTGGAACATAAATTTTACATTGAAATCATGAATACACATTACTCATCATAGCTCATGTCTTCAGCTACTGATTTTAATTTGTTGAATCTAAAAAAACGATTAATGAAAGATGACTGAATACAGAATTAGCAAACAATCATAAATCTACTTGATTAAATTTTTGCAACGCTCCAGATTGCGTTTGATTATTTTAGATATACGCAAAATTTGAACTTGGAAGTTATACTCTGGAATGAATTTAAATTATAAAAAAAAGAATGTCTTGTGTTGTGAGAAGTTTTATTATATTATTTGATTCTTATTTTAAAATATTTTTAAAATAGAACACATCTCTATGAATCAACTGAACTTTGATCTGCTCACAGTTCAAAATACAAATAGTTCAAACATAATGAAGATAATATTTTTAAAATCTTTCTAAAAATCTAAATACTAAAATTCTCTATTAAAAACTACTAACAATCAGTGAAACAAACATAAGCTAACATATACATGCAAAGTATGTAAAATACCGTATCTCTTCTCAGAATCACTACACAAAAAGTAGTGTAGTCTAGCATTTCATTTTAATTTTTCAGCTTCAATGCTAAATATATTAATTAATATAAAGTTTTGCTAGCAGGAGAATTAATTGTATCACTTTGATGCTACAATATTTTATTTGCATGGAGGGACAGAAATGAGGTTTATTGAGCATTTTGTGCTACCAAAGATTAAAAATGCAAATGTTTGCTTCAAATTGCTATAAGTAAATGCAACATGTATGACGTGTAGATTGGTGACAGCAATGATACCATAAGATGGTGGTATTACGATGGTTTTGTAGTGACTGTGCTATTATTGCTTTTTACTGAAATGGAGTCGCAGTCAGCTCAAGTGTCAACTAGCTATGTATACACACTACACACACGTATACACACATACACACACACACACACACACACACACGCATACACACACAAATGTATACACACACACACACACATGCATACACTCATTAATTTTTCGTCGGTAGCAGAATTTGTATTTTCCCTTTTTCTCTATTTCGTTTTATTTAGATAATGTGACAAGGGCACAGATTACTTTTTGTCTAATTAATTATTCCACCTTATATTGTTCTGTACAGTTCAGTGATACTGCTAGCTTTGAATTTATATCTACTCTACTTTCTTTATTTTTGTAACTGATTTTGCTATTTTTGAATCTGAAATGGCTCTCAAAAAGGTCGTCGTCAATTTTATTCTAAAACATTCATTGTATTTGCTACTTCCTTCTTAAGGTTAATTGGTCAAGAAATTCAAATCCATTGATGAGATGTCCAGTTTAAACAATTGCAGTTCTTCTTACAAACCAATGAGAAGGTTAATCAGTTTGTGTTTATTACATACAAATTTTGATTCACAAATAAATGATAACGTAAAATAGTGTATTCAATGATAAGTGGTAGTGTTGAGAAAAAAACTAGTAAAGACATTATTTGTTATCTATCAATAAACATGGAGTACAAATGATTAACATTGTTATGCTGATAAATAATTGGTCAGCATGTGTAGTGTTGTCAAAACACATTGTACAGAAAAAATTTCACTTTGCATCATTATATTTTGTTTGTTTGTACTGGACCAAATTGACGGCTTTCTATTCATTCCCTTTTTTTGACAAAAATCTTCACGTTGAAAGCCTCAGAAAGCTAATAGACTGATCTGAAGCAAATACTGCAAACAATTGTAGATTAATTTTTAAGGACTGAAAGGAATGAATATTAAGCAGACGTATATTACGTTTGTCAGCGTGAAGTAGAAATCATAGCCTGAAATACAAAATATGAATGTGAACAACGTATAATACCATTTGACTTGGTATGCTTCGGTATCATAATAGATAATCATTGTGTTTTTATTTTAAATAAAATCTAATGAAAGATTGTGAGCAGAAAAATGCAAATATTACAAAAGTGTAAGTCGACCCTTCAATTTGTGTATATTTGTGCTGTGATTCATTCTACATTCCCTTAGTGTTCATAACTGGTCCACTTCTTCTTTGACGTTCAAGGAACTGTTGAGTGAGGAATACATTTTTAAGTGTAATTATTGTAAATGTAAACGATAGAGTAACGTAGGATGAGAAGAATAAGATTTGCTGAGGTTAAATTCAGGAAATATTAAATTTCCTACATTATATTTCCTTCACATTTTCATTTTTCAATGACTGCTGTAAGGACAAATCTTGTAATTTGTAATTTCTTTGTTAGTAAAAAATTATTAACATTTTACTGTAGTATACTTGTACAATGATATTTGTTAAATCATTCAGTTTGATGTTAAATAATTTTAGCAATGAATTACGGAAGACAAAATATTCGACCAGTTCGTTGAATGAACATTCCAAAGAAACATCCAATAATAATAGCCAGGCTACACAACAACAACTGTCAGGTTTCTGTGACTCGGTGAATTTAATTAATTTATTTTAGAAATACGCTGTGTTCATTTCTATCTTATTCAAAATGAAGACATTCAAATTATTCGTTGTCTTATTGTACGAAAAGTATTATGAAGTGTTTGTTTGAGGCTGCTGCACATCAGAAAAAATTTGCATAATCATAAATGACTATTTTTTTTGTATTTATTAAATTGGCACTATTTATAAGGGTACGATTAGTAGTGAGATTTCGAAGCTTAAAAGGCAAGTGACTCGAGCAAAACTTGTGCACCGGAAAACATTGGCTTTGTACGACAAACACTTACACAATTTTAATGGATGTATGGGATCGCATTTATTTGATCGAGCTCTTATCGTAAATCTTGTAAAAAGGTTTTTAGTTATTATATGTTTTATTGTTTTTAAATTATTTGTTGTAGCTCAAATGTTTGCTAGCACCTACTTCATGGTAGTTGGCTTTTAATCACCTTAATAACCATTGCAATGCAGTTTTATTATGCCTGATCAGTTTGATGCAGAAAAAAAAATTCATTTGGGAATTTATAAAAAAATTTTTTAGAAATGAGGTGAATGGTTTGCCATACGGAGTCATGAAGTGTGATTATGTGCCTTACATTAGTTATACATACCCAGAGAAAGCAGGTAATTCATGACTAAGTTGTTACTGCCATTTCTTGCCACTTTTCAAAATTTGACACTGAGTGTGAACACTCATCAATACTTATCGGGGATTGATTGCAAGGGCCTCAAAAATTATTCTCACTTTAACTGGAATTATTTCTCTGCTTAGCAATTCAAATGAATATTCCAGATCAATATTTGGATAATGGTCACAGTTTGCAGACATATTGTCCAGATTTATTTATTCCCGATTTTACTCGAGCTAAGGCCTTCATGGCGAGTGATCATTGGCCTGGAAATGAAGAATTTACTCTAACACTTACAGATGAATCAGGCAAACGGTTAGCTTTCCTAGCAGACATTTTTTGCAAAGACTTATTAAAATATTTTGTATTACTAGAAGATTTATTTTGTCATCGGAAAGCTTCTTTTGCAGTTATGTTCGTATCCAATTTTCTCATGTATTTCATCACTTTTTGTTCTTCTTGATCCGTAAAATTACTTCAGGCATGTATATCTAAGATTGTTTTTATAAGTGGATAGGAATTTTTTGATATAATTTACTTGATTACGATATTTTTTCCCGTGTTTCTTTTAACACGTAAACATCCTAGTTAACCAGTGGGTATCGATATTATTTCAGGACTTTCGCTTATTGTATTCGCCACTTGATTCGCCATTGCAAAAAAGATTCTAAACAACAAGGTATTATAAGCATTTAAAAAAAGCTTTCTTCTCCTTACTTGATTAGAAACAAAAATTACGTATAAATTATATAAACGACTCTACTGAAGCCTCAGAAGTAAACTTATGTTTTGCGGTATATTTATGTTTTCTAGCACTCCAAGTGATGTGATCAAGTGAAAGACACATTCATTATTATAGTAAACTGTTCAAAAAATGGTGATTTGCCAGAAGTTTTTGCCATAATTTCACCAATTCATGCTCCACAATTTTATCTTGCCCTTGCTGAAGAATGTGTTTGTTACCTACATGAAAGTTTTGACCAATTGAAGGATATGCTCGATATCGTTTATCAATGCACATTTCCAACTGATGGTAGATATTACAAATGTTCGATATGAATTTGATTTATATATAGCTGTGATCTCTTTTTAAAAAGTTTTGGGTCTGTTTTAGATTATCACTATTAATAATAGTCACTAAAGAATTATCAGTAATAGCAATTATGTTGCAGGTGGTTCTTTGCATATTCTTAAAAAGGCAAAAAGTGGCATCAAACAAGATATTGTAATTCGAGGTCAAGGTTCTATTTTGGGTCAAACTGATTGTTCGGCCGTAGTACGTCGAATGGGACCAGAAGTTACCGTTGCAGTAATTGCAGCTTTATTATCTGAGCAGCGAGTTATTATTGCTGGTGGTTCGGTGATCTTTTAACTTTGTTGAACGATTTTAATGTAAAGTGTAACAAAACCGAAATCAAAAGTTTTATAAATTTTAATAATTTTCGTCGAAGTACTTTCATTAGAAATATCAGTATTTCAAAGCATAATATGAAGTGCAGATTTTGGAGAAACTACATTTATAATGAACGATCCATATAATCTGTCGAAGACTTACTGTTATATTATCAGGTACAATCAGTTTGCCATGCAGTTCAGTCGATCGCGTGTCTTCTGCAACCATTTTCATGGCCTTATACATTGATACCAGTACTACCTGATTCATTGACGGAGATAGTTAATTCTCCGACACCGTATTTAGTCGGTTTATTAAGGTGGCTTTTGTTTTCATAGTTTTTAACTAAGTACTCAGATATCTTTTTGAAATTTAGTTAAGCGGATTACATTTACTTATTATTGTAAGAAATTTGGATTTAAAGTAATTGATACAAGTACTTTATGATTCGTGTTTCTCTTACTTTTTCCATGAACAATTTCAGAACAAATATGTACAAACTCAAATCTCTAGTTTTCATGAACAATAATCAATGTGATGATGATCTCGGTGAGGTAAAATTCATTCCAAACTTTGTAATATACATTGGTTTTGTCATTATTTTGTCCAGTTGAAAGTGTCCAGGATTTGAAAAGCATTTTTACTCAATTTACAGGAAGATCTTGTTATAGTTGATCTCGATGGTGGTATATTTTTGCCACAGCTCACTGAATTGCGTACAGCAAATGAAAATGTTGACTTTAAAATCAAAAACGCATACGCATTATGCAAGAAACTTTTGCTACCTAAAAAACTTGCTGTAAATCTTATTTCAAAACTGAAAGATGCTGTTCTTGTTGGTGAAGGTTCTCTTGCCGATGCAATGCTTCAAAAAGTTTGTTTTTAACTTGAACGATGTTAATTAGTTCAAAACCTTATTCATCAAATTCAGAATAGGCAAATTTGTTGAATAGCTGTTGCTGTGTTTTCATTTAGTATTTTTCAGTTTACGATGGACTCATCAAAGATGTTTAACGTAAGATTTCAGGCAATGCTGACGTGGTATGCGAGTTTAGTTTGGCCTTATAAAAATTGCAATTTTAATGCTGCATTCATCGCAGAATCAAATGGTGACTATGACTCGCTTCGCATAAGCAAATCGCAGTTAATTGCTTCACATACGTCTAAATCAACTCGTCGTTTTATAGAATGGTTTGTGGAAACTGGTGTTTTTCGTGAATGGATCCGCCGTAAGGTGAACTTCTCCTAATTGACTTTTCTTAAGATTTGTTCTTAATGAAATGAGGAACAAATGCCGTTTTCCGGAATGAAAATAAATGATTTTTTTACATTCCGATAAGGTTTGCAGGTGTCAAAGTCATCAGAAATGATTCTTACCCAAATTGGAGATGTAACTAATCAGAAATTTGATGAATGTGTCCTTGCATTAGCTTCTCAGGCATCTCAAAGACGTGTGGTTAATATATTTACCAAAGCGCAAAACGTGATCTTTCGTCCACATTTCTTGAAAAAATCCTGATTTTAATGTATTAATCTGTAGAATAAAATAAATAATCTAGCTGATCGGTTCTGTACATTATAATACTCAGTTGGAATTTATATATCTGCCTTTTTAAAATATAAATATTATATTCATTAATGACGATGATGTGATAGTTCATTGTTAAAGCATTATTTTATCTCTTGACATAAAAAGTCAAAATATGGAGGATGACATATCTAACGCTCTGGCCATTTTGAATTTGGTAATATCATTACGTATTATATTTGTACTCATTTGTGCCATTTAAAATCTTTGTTATAATTTGCACTGCAAGCACTCACAATAAGATAAAAGATCAGTTTTGCTTGTTATTTGTTAGAATTTGTGTTGGAGTTTAAATTTTCAAGTCTTGTTCTTGCATGTTAGAGCGAAAATCACATATCATTTATAAGCAAGTGATGTAACTGAACAGCAAGTCCGAAGAGACCCAATCAACTTTGAATAGTTTTCTTGTATGAAGGTGAAAGTTGAAATAGAAATTTTGGTTTTCAAATATCTTCGTGTTGGCTTTTATAATTATTTATTCATAAGAACAGAGTACTGGCTTTCTCTGCACTGTTACATCATCATGTAGATAACATGTAATCATTTATAATAGTAAAGAAATCTTACAGCAACAGAAATGCATTTTCCTGCACTGTACTTTATTTTATTCATATCTTTCAAACTTTTTCATATGTCTATTTCAATACTTGCGTATATCAAATGTTAGTAAAAATTGTACTTCAATTCATTATTCACAACAATTAACTAAATGCCAAAGTAAGCAGTTTGCTGTGGTAATTTATAAAAACAATGAAAAAAACAAAAGAAAATGAAATAGTGATAATGAGCAGCAGTCATATTTAGCCGGGCATTATTAAAGACTAGCTAGATTGCAGAATCTGCAAGTTTCTTATAGATGCATATTAGAAAACACCGTGAAACGAAATGGACATGTTCTAGAGAAGCTTGTTTGATAAAAAGAGATATTACTTTTATGCATATTTTTATATATTAAAATTTATTTAGTATTTATTCATTTATTTCTTTCTTTATTTATTTTTAGCTTTTGTGACTATTGATTGAGGTAACCATTTGTTAACAGCAAAAATAAGTGCTAATTCCATGAATTGCTACATTTTTGTATAAAAATGTTAGAATTCATTGTAATTGTTCAGTAGCAGTAAAAAAGTTATTCTGTGTGTACGTTTGTCGTTTCGAATGCTCATCAATGCTTCGAACTGCTCCACTATGTCATGGTGTTCAGTACTGCTGGAAATAGCAACTTATTATTCACTGTCGAAATGATTTATCACTGTTAGTGCATTGCATTATGAACTGGTCATAGTTGTGTGTAAAAAATGTAAAATTTTGATGCCGCACTTTTCAATTTTCTGTAATCATTTATCTCATATGATTTGTTACTGTGATTCTGTACCAATTCAATGATTTGCTAGAGTACTTATCTTAAATATCTACGAGTATAACTGATTTATTAATACTATTTTGAAAAATTGTTCGTATTAATTACTTCTTGTAATATATCATTATTTGATTACATCTAGTTTCTGAATGGTTCATCAAAATTGTTGCATGTTTTGATTACAGGAAATTCTGATGCCTATTATACTGTAACTAATGACAACGTCAATATTAGATGATGAAAGTGCTCATGTCAAAGAGCTCAATAGGGTGGGTTTTTCTGATATTACATGCCAGATAAGCTATTTTTGATTTATAATATAAGTTTTCTACTTCAGCATATATTTTTTTAAAGTTATTTCTGAGTTGTGCGAAAAACGGCGATGCACATTTGGACGCATCCGGCATACGAGATCTATGTGTCAAACTTAATCTTTCTCCATTCATTGATGTCATATTAGAACGAATCCTCAGTGGGTATACGATTGTTGATTTCGCTGTAAGCATTTTATAAAATTTACTTTTTATTAACAAAATTTTGTCAGTTCATGATTGTACCATCGTTGTAAGAAGTTTATTTCAAGATTTTCAAAGACCGTTTTGTGCAACTGTTACCTGACATCATTAGCTTTACCGCAGCAGCAGAAAATCTTGAAGCTAAAGCAGAAAAAGTTTTATCTGACCTTGGAATTGAACCTGAAGGTTTTTTAACTCGATATGAAACACGAATTTTATGTAAGCAAATATCCGAATTAAATAGGTAAAGTCTTTTTTTGAATAGCAAAATTATTTATTGAACAAAGCTTACTAAATCCATTTCTTGAAACGTACTGAACAGCATTATTTTTATTAGTTAATTTCTATATGCGTTTGTGTATTATATGTTAGAGCATAAAAAATCCATTGTAGTCTTGGGTTAGTCGGAATCGACCAACTTTTTGATAAAGCAGATACTACTCACGAGGGGCGAATCACATTAGCCCAGCTTCTTTCTCAATATGAAATCCAAAAGCAGTTGAGCGAAGAAGTAGATTTCATTACAGAAACATTTATACCGACGGTGAATCTGTTTGAAGCACTAGATCCTTCTAATACGGGGTAATTTGTTTACATATTTCATTATAGTTGGAACACGGGATCTTAATGCTTAAATGTTCATTCATCCATAAAGTGACTTTTAGAAATATCCGATGTCAAGAACTGTTAGAATATTGGCGAGCATGTGGGATTAACATCGAACAAGGTCTTTATGTGCTGAAGGTAATAAAAATGAAGTGCTACTGAAAATCTTAATTGTATTTTTGATTTCTTAAAGAATGCTTTGTATTTTGATCTACAGCTTTCTGGCCAGCCGTTAGAGGGGACGGTCAACGCTCTTTTGCTAAGCAGTTGTTTGGAACGACATTTAGGAGATTTGGCAGCCGCCCCAACTGCTTCTACAATTATCAGAGTTGCTTTGCTTTCTCTGCATGCATTCATTGATCACTTAAGGTAACTACTACTCATTTTTTTTCCAATTTATTTTTATACCATCAACTATTTTATTACTCTAATTTTTAGTGGTTTGTTATTTTTGTTATATGACATCTTCTGCAGAAGCTACATTATCCCTTTAAGCTTCACAAAATTTTTCTTTTAAAATTTGCCGCATATTCAGGTGTTCTATAAAAGAGGCTGAATTGCGTGCTGAACATTTTCATAAACAGTTTCAACAAGCAAATCAAAGACATGTTCTTCTTATTGAAGAATTCGAACAAAATCAAATTTCAATGGAACAGACGTATGAGCAACGCTTTAGGTTGATTGCATCATTATAAAATTTCAATAATTTATTTATTTTTTAATTTGTAATCACAATGTTGATCAACCTTTATATTCTAAGGCATGTTTATAACTGCTGTGTAAAATTTATAAAAAAATGATCACGCGTCACAATGACGTGCTAAATCTCTCACGATATCCTTTTTTGTACAAATAGTAAGCAATTTTTAGTGTGTAAAATTGGCATTGTGATTATTATTGTTGTATTATGATTATTTTAGAGATTCAGATGAGCGTTATCGAGCGAAAATAGCTCAAATAGAAGAACGTTTCAATCAAGAAAAGAAGGATTTGTTGATTGAATTGGAAAAAGTGCGGTTCAAAGCAACTTTCATTAATTTGAAATGTTTTTCGGAATTCATTCAGTTTATAGATTGATTTTGAATCTTCTAAGTTGTAGTAAAGCAACAAATTTTTTTAGGCTGAAAATGAACTTGCCCATTTTCGAAAAACTGAATCATCTTACTGCACTCGTTTACAACTGCTTGAAAATCAGTTTGCTCGAGTCACAGAGAACGCGCAGCAGTTGTCAAATACGGTTCAGAAATTAGAGCAAATGAATAAACACCTTTGCAACGAAATCGCTAGAGTCTCAGAACCAAAACCTTTGAAAGAAACTCAAGCGACCACAGTGCTTAAACATCGCGTGGAGTTACTTGCTGCCCGCAATAAGGTTGCAAAAGAATTGTTTAATTTTTTGAGGGCATTGTTTTGAAGCTTGGATGTATATGAACAAACATATCAATACTAAACTCATAATTCTATCAGCAGTACCTCGTCATTTCTTTCTATTGTTGCTGACTGTTCTTAATAATGTATAGAAAAGACTATTTTCAAAGTTTCGGATTATAGCAAAGGTGCAGAAACAATTTTTGGAAGCTAAAATAAATCACGTAAAAAGTTTTGGATGAAGAATTAACCAAACTTTATCGAATGAAGATTGATTTCTTGAAATTAAGTTAAGAGCAGTCATTCCTCTGAAGAAGGATCTGGATTTGGCTCCAGATAGATAATAGATCGGTGATGTATCGCATGACAAATTCTTGTTTATTCACGATATTTTTCAGATTTTGGTGTAATTCATACGTATTGAGCAAGGTACTGTTCACAAACTTTCGTTTGCTCGGTAACTTTGTTTATAGTCAGCAATAAAATTTCTTTAGAGGTTGCGAGAACAGATAGATGATTTGAGAAATAATGGAAAAAGACGCATTAGTCATTTAAAGACATTTGAACCGCTCTATTTTCATTGGACCAATACGTTTAGGTCGGAAATTCTTGCTCTGAAACGTCGACGGGAAGGTAGATCAGTTGATTCACCTTCAGGTATCATTTTATCTTTCTTATCTGATACCTCTCGAGTTTGTTCATGACCTTGTGAAAAACAAATATGATACACAAGAAGCTATATAATAACTTGATCTATTCAGAAATAGAAAGCGAACCTGAATCTATTTTCATTAAATCAAGAAAACGTCGATTATTAAAAATCAAAGAACGTAAGCGTCGATACGAACTGATCACTAAAATACTTGTAAATTCATCATCAAGTACGTTATTTGTTGCTTGCAATTTCCATTCTCAATTCTAATATTAGTTAAAGGGTACAAGGGTTTTGTAAACTCATTTGAATTTAGATGAACGAATAGTAAATACAAAAGAAAATGAAGAAAAGGCTCAAAGTGTCGGTTCTAATAAAAAATTCAAGCATTCTCTGGTAGAGAATTTGCATAACAACGTATTAGAACCCATTAGAGAACAGCATCGGAAAGAAATTGCTGCGTTGAAGAATTCTGCCAATAAAACTCTTGCGAAAGCATTGAATCGACAGTTGCAGATTACTCAGAAGTAACTTTAGGATCTTAAAGTTTTTGCGTTAAACTTTCAGAATCCTATGCATTTCGAAGGATTCGGCTTCTAATGTACCATGAAAATATATCTGATAGAATACTCAGTTAACATTTGCTTTTTTTACTTGCTTTTATAGAATTTCTCGTCTTTTGCAATATTGTGTAGTCACTTCTTGAGCATAAAAAGAATCGATTTTTAACTTCATTATTTTCGTAGTTTTGAGAAGGAAAAGCATCAATTTCAATTAAAACTGATGACCGAAAAATATGCTTTGGAGCGGAATTTCACAAAAGAAAAAATGAAAATGATTGATCGTTTAAAGGTAATTCTTTGCATTAGCTTTTGAATTTTCTCTCCACTAATTTGAACATTTTTAAAAGCAGATTCCAACCATCAACTGCTTAATAAATATTGATTAGAAAAATTAATTACAGGAAGAGTTTAAATGTGAACTGACTCGTTTAAAGACTGTAATGTCTCCATCAACATCTGTTGATTCGAAACTGTCCACAAGGGTGAAAATCTTTGAATTCGCTGAAGCACAGTTTTGTTAAATAATCAAATTGTCGAAATTGTTCATAGTTGAATGGAATCGATGTAGCCGTTATCATTTTTTCAAATTACGTAGTATATATCGGTATTGTGTTAGAAAATGACGATTACAAAAAGTAATCCTGGTTTTGATTATTATAGGAGAATTTTGGCGCTACAAAAGTTAGTGCAAGTTGGAGAAGAGATCAAGCAAATAGTTCCTTCAATTTTAAGAATTTATTGAATAATGAACCATACCGATTTAATGTGTTCAAGAATTTCCGGTAAAATCTAAATTAAAATAAAGAATTTTAAAAGGAGTAAAAGTTGTATAGTTTAGTTTTGCTGAAAAACTTTTTATTATTTGAAACATAGTTTTCTTTTTAATTCAAAATAATTGGAATTAATTAAATCATATGTTTGCATAATTGAAAAAAAGTGCAGAATGAATATATTCTTTGTTATTATTAATATTCAATAGTTTTGATCAAGTGAGAAAAATTGCTCGATTTTTTTCTAGCCCAATTTTTTTGTACGTAATATGTTAATTCACTATTTTACATAGGAGATACGATGATGCTTACAAAATGTTCGATCTTAATAAAAACAATGGTGCACTGAATATAGAGAAAGTGTCTCAACCTTATACTCCATTCAAAGCAATATCTAAAGTAAATTTTTTGCAAAAAAAATTCTATATTATATTTTTTTATAATTTTTGTACGCATTAATTCTTTATCTTCAACGATTCAAAGACTAATATTCTTATTTGTAATGATATTGTAGAACGTTAATATGACTCATGATCAGTGCTCTCATTATCAAATAATTACAACAAAACTGAAACAGATTTATGCTGCAGTTGGAGGTGACGGCAATATTGGCGAAAGCGGTTTTGAGGACTTTCTTTCTAGTGCAGACAGTATAACTGAAGTAACTTTTCATATTTTTTTCCGTGTTAATTCTATATCAGCTCATTTCACTCGGTTTATGAATGATTGGTTTATTAAAGCATGAATAGTTTCATCCAGCAATTGAAGAATTACAATTTGCATATATATTTCGTATGAAATAAATGTGGAGCAATAACGTAACAATAATTACGTAAATCAAATTTTTGAAAATTTTGCATTCAGCAGTGTGAAAGCTTAAAAATAAAACTTTTCATTGTAAAGTTTATCACAAAAGTGATTACAATAATTTACAGGAAAAAGCATATTTGAAAAATGAAATCAAGAAACTGGGTGATCGGCTTTATTCAGTGCGTGAAAAAATCATTGATCTTCACACTTACCTTACATTAAGAAGCTCGCAATGTAATATGACCAGGTGTTCCACTGGCTGTATTGAAAAATTTGAAAATCATTGCATGGGACGACCTTTTGATGATTATATAATCACTGGAAATAATCATATGTGTCGACAAGGATTCTCGTCGAATCATGGTATCACGAAAATAGAGCAGCTTAAAGCTGAGAATCTTTTGCTCAATGCACGTCTATCGCAATCGTCAGAACTGGTGAAAATGTTGCTCCGAGAATATAGCGATGAATTGGATAGAACTTCACGTTTAGGAAAATTTATCCGTTCTATTTATTCAATTAATGAAGAATAATCACTAACATTCCGTTGTCACTACTTGTTATTTCATTGTATTTCAAGTTTATTATTTATTGACTGTAATTACTTTGAAAATAAAATCTAAAATTTGTCATTGCCGAAATGAACGTTTGCATTACCACGGGAATCATGGCTTGAGCTATGGGTCATTTCCCCACTGAACTCTTTCAAGATATTTGTTTGATAAAAAGCTGAGTACTAGCTTATTATGACACAAGTATAAAATAGAAGATGGATTGCAACTACTACTAAAAGGAATCCTGTTTTACAATTTACCAGAAGTCTGGTCAGCTTTCTATTAAGCATTGTCGAGATGTGGGCTAAATTTTGAGTGGTGGTTTAGTCTGTAAAAGTTAAGGATGCAGTTTGTGTAATCGTAATGACTACTTGTAGGAATCACTGTATAATTGTGTTAAAATTATCGTGAATGGAACGTTTGTCAAAGGCTTTAAATGTTTTGCAAACAGCTAAGAAGTCATCATGGATAGTTGCATCCAGGTTTTTTTTTACACAGTGTGTGAGGTTCCCAATATCTAAATAATTTGTGGCGTGAATAATCTGTTCATCACATTGTTCTGTTATTACAGTAGGAAATCTGGAGTTTGCGAAAAAGAACGTGCTGCTTTTTCGGATATTAAAAACATGCTGATTCAGCCGGAAGTCCGGTTAGTAGTTTATCCTTTCGTCACTGCTTGATGTTTATTTTGTCCAAGATGCAGAAGCCTTTTATAACATCACTTTAATTGTGATTGACAAAAATTATTAACATTTAAGATTGGTGAGGTATATTTCCAAAAAACTGTGCTACAAAGCCATCGTTTTGTTTAGATTTGTTAAGCTGTTACAGAAGTGTGCATAAATGCATTCTCATCATGTTGTCTTCATGAGTCTTACTGCACTTTAAATCTTGAAAGACTTTAGTAATTGAAATTTGCTCATGCTTTTATGCAAGGAATCAACAAGCAGATTTTTATTTTAGTGGAAATATTAAATATAATGATGAGTTCAATCGAGCAATTAAAGTCATGTTTGAGTACATGAGTCATTGGAACAGTGATATTCGCATGCTGAGCGAACAAACGATTGACTCAGTATTAAAAGTAAGGATTTCGACAAATTTGAGATGTGCATTCTTAACTTTCATGCATTTTTAAGGCAGTCAACGAACAACTCCCTTTCAGCTTGTAAAAATAGTATTTCCTGTACTACTTAAAAATTATTTATCTATTCATCCGTTTCATAAATTAAAAGCCTGTTGCAGCATTTAGTTACCGAAATGAATTCATCGCGAGTTGTTGTTGCCTTGATGTCAGAGATCAAACGGAATGGTTCATCTCGTTCACTTGTTTTTTCAATATCTCGATTTCTTGACGCTTTAAAATACGTAAAAATCAATCGTTCACGGTTAGTTAAATATTGAGTTTAGAGTGAAGTTTCTTACCGACTAGAATTTAAAATTGGGTTAAACTTGTTGAACTCACTGCAACAAGCTTGATGAACCACTCTCTTCTGGAACTAATTAGTTTAAAGTTTTCAGGGTTATAGGATTACATTTAATTTCTGCCCTTATCAAAATTTTGCCCCGTCCAGAAGAAGCTATTCAGAGTGCATTAGAAAAATATCTTCCGTCAATTTTCACATTTTTTGGTTCGGATTTGGAGACTCAAAAAAGTGATCTTATTGTGGTAAGTGTTTGAAAAATTTGTTTAGTTCTGTGTAAGCTGTTTTCGTATAGAGGTTGCTAGATATTGACGCACTCATAGCTTTAAACTATATTTGGTTGTTTTCGAATAAGAAAGAATATATCAGGATATGCCTCGCTTAGTACTTTTTTATTCTTTTTAGATGTTCAAGTTATCTTAAAAATTTTTATTTATAGAGTTTGTATGAAGCAGCACTGGTTAATTTAGAATTGTCTGGAGTAGCGAATCGAACAGCTGCTGTCGTCATAAGTCAATTGGCTACTTATGTTGAACTTATCCGCAGAAGAGCTTTTTCACATTTTTGCAGTAATTACTACTTTCTGTAGTTTTATTTTTTTTTACGATTAAAATAATGATCAAAGAACCTATATTTTTAGAAATACTAGCTGGAGCTCATGAGCAGGAGAATAAAAACTTTCTAGTTGGAACGTTGAATTCGCTGCGTCTTATGTGGCCTATTTGTGTACGTGGGAGCAATAAATATGACACGAAACTTTTACAAAGTGTAAGTTGATTAATTAATATTGAACCGAAAATTGAGATATTTGAAAGTTGATGTTTTGATTAAAATTTTGATTTAGGTGATTCGTGACTCGTTACGCTGTCTTTTCTCACCTCATAATGAAATTGTTGTTGCTTCATTGGAGTTTCTTGAAAAAATACTCATTTCTCCGCTTCAGTGTCTTAACGTAGAGTCATTTTATCCTCAAAAATTACATGAAATGGAGTCAGTCGAAGAAGAAAAATATGTTGCAATAAATAGCTTACCCTCATCGCGTGAGTTTAAGTTTGCTAAGAAATTTTTGATTTTTGAGTTGGTAGTTTAAAACTTTTTTCCTTTAAGATGTGCCGAGCTGTATGAGCTCATTAAGAGCTAGTCCTGTTAATTTTCTTTTTGGCAATGAATCAGAATCGGAATTAAATTCGGGTGACGATTGTGGTCACTCTTTGTCGAGTTTAGCTTCAACAGAAGATAGTATAGATCCGAAAGTGAGTATTTGCTTTTATTTTCAATGTTATTACTACAGTGGTGTATGGATTCACAGAAACTTATAGTTCAGGTATTTTGAAAAAATTTAGTATACTATTTTTTTGAGCGCAAGGAACCACCACTTTTGGAGAATGGTACGGATGTTGTTGATCCGTTGAGGCATTTAGAACTCTCCAGTGGTCTCACCCGGTATTCTACTTCATCTGAAGAATCTTTACATGAAGCTGGTCCATCTAATTCTTCCACTACAATTCCGAAACATTTGCCTGAACATTTGTGTAATTTTTTATTCCCGCTCTACTGCTATAAAATGAAAAAGGATAAATTGGGCTTCGAATTCGATATTTGCTCTTTATTTATGCTTGATACCAAACAACTGTTTTGATTATTGACGTTGTATTAAAAATCTGTCTATCAAAGTTTTTATAAATGAGGTATATTTGAAATATGAAGCTTCCATGTAAATTTGCAAATATGTGCATCTTTCAGCTTCTGGTCCATTTCTAACATATACAGTAGTTCTTCTAACGAAACGATTTTTATTGAGTGGACAGCGCTTCAGATTGCTCACCGATCGTGAAGTTCGCGTGAGCCACAAACTTTTGGCAATGTCATGTGTGAGTAATCTGGCGTTATATTTACCAGAATTCACGAGCATACCCCTTGGAACTGGAGGTATTTTCATCCTGGTTCTCGAAATTGAGATTTGGCTATTTTGTCAATAAAGTAAATTAAGTTCTCTTTGAATCCTATTTTAGGTGATTTGGGCATCCAGACACTAAAAGACCTTCAACTTTATTTAAATCATGAGGATGATCATTTGAAAGCTTCAGCAGTTTTTGTATTTGTGAACGCGGAAAATTGTCGATTTAGAACTCTGGGAAAACAGTTTCACGGTAAGTTTCATAACACTCGTTTTCTTCATTTATTACTCACATCAGGAGCACGAATACTGAATTCAGATGTATATTCATGTTAGACAAGCTGTTTTTCAGAATTACATTGTCTATTTACGTCACTTGTATACGATATAATCCATCTCAAAAATGCTCATTGTAGTCGTGCTTTGCTGACAGCTCTAAAATCTGCAAAACACCTTGTGTATGAAACCGGTATCATTTGTGACATTGCTAGATTTGCTTGCTCAAATTATCGGGATAATTATTTTCTGCTTCGGGTATGTTCCATTGTTTTTGTTCGAAATTCATGCTGCTAGTGCTTCTTTACTTTTTACTCAGTTCATTCCAGGAATAAATTTTCAGATAGCTGTTGTAGAGTATCTAGCAAGCATCGAATGGACATATGCTACTTCGCCTACTGTATGCCTTCCGGATGAAATTTTCGAAATATATATGCATCTGCTGGCTGATGATGATGAGCGAGTGCAAAAAGCTGCGGCTGAACATCTCCCAATGTTTGTCTTTTTTACCTGGAACAGTAATATAGGCATATGGTTATTTTTATAGAGAGATAAAAATTTAGCGTTCTGCATACGCACTTCAATGTTTCGCCTTTTTTATCGGAATAGAAACGAAAATGTTTGTTTTAGGTTAACAGAAAACGCTAATTATACTTCGGTACCTAATACTTATACAATGAAGGAACTTAATGATTATCTTTGTTCTGATTTCCTTAGAAGGCCTATGGTATGTTGCTTATATTTTCATATTTTCTCTTTAAATATAGATTCATCCAGATCTTCTTATTTTTATTTTTCCTAGACTACCGGCATGAGCGCTAATTATGATTTCGTACAGCAGTCAATTAATTTTGCTGCTATAGAGAATCTTTCTTTCATTATTAAGAAGATGTTTGAAATTCTAACAAGGAATGCTGACGAAAAAAAACAGGTACTCACAAACTTAAAATTTTGTGACTTTTTTCTAACTTGACTTACTTTTTTAAAGAGCAAGCCAAAAAAATTAAGGTTATTATCTAAAACTTATCTGAAAAAATTTTTGATATTAATGAAATTATTTAGGCAGGTATGGCAGCTGGACTGTTTTATTTGTTACGTTGGTACAAGTCTAGACGTTGTACACAAGCGTGGGGACTCAAACTTAATATTGATAGTTTCGGGACTGGTTTAATTATTTCACTCATTTCAAAATGTGATTGCTATTCCACATCAATACCAACCTTCATACATTTACTGGAAATTGCAACACAAATGACTGCAAGTAAATTAATTCATTTTCAGAGAATCATTATCTCTAATTTTGAAGTAATTTGGTTCAAACATACTGCTTCCCAGTATTGATAAAATTATGGCAATTTGCAACGATTACCCAGTACTTTCTAGCATTTGAGACCAAATTCATGATGTTTTTAGAAAAAACGTCGTTTCAGAACCATAATGTCTAAATTTAAGATTTGTGCACTGCAAGTATCTTGAAAAGTGTTGGCGAAAATAAAGCGGTGCCAGAATTCCCAAGGTCTCTCTGTGAACAACTTTTTTTATTGCAGCTAAGGTTTGTTCAACTTTTGTTCCAAAGTTTTCTCTTAATTAGTTATGCATTAATTAAGATGCATAGTATGGAAATTTTTGAAAGACATCTTTTCTGTATCGGCTGTTATTTATTTAGCGAATTTTGGCAGAAATTGTTGCAAAATACTGAAAAATTTATTGTATTGTATCTGGTTTTCATATCGCTTCTTTTTTCAATTTTCAGGGTTATGAATCTATATTATTCTTTGATAGTAGATAATCGCCAGCAAGGCGCTCATTTACGCTCACGATTGTCACCACTTTCGCCTGTCCGGAAAGCAATTCCTGGGAATGTTGTAACGCCATTTTGGGAGCAACGAATTGCGGGGATTTCAACGCTTTTTAGTATGGGCATCAAAATGACCAGAAATACCAGCTTTCTGCAGTCATCTAGTCTCAGTCATTTTGCTGAATCACTCAGAGGCAGTTATCTCAATTACTTGGTGCGTGAAAATTTTTTTTTTCAAAACTGCTGAACCTTATTTTGTTGGTCTTGGCAAAATGTTTCTCTTTCATTTAGATTTAGTTACAAATGGTTGTAGATTAATATTAGATCTTATTTCATAATTCATCATACAGTGCTCTAAAAGAATTTATGTCGCAGAATACATTGGCTTCTGATGCATCAAAACGATTTGTAAAACTTTTGAGTTCTGCGTTAAATTGTTTGGCTTGTACACTGGAAGTAATGCGTCTTTCAGAAGTTGTTGACATTATTAAAGAGGTAATTTCTATCACACTTAGCTTTTTTATTTGTTGTGTTCTGAAAAGTTTTGTTCTTATTTTTGAAACGTTATCTCATAAACTTTGATCGAATAACACATCTTAATTTTACTGCGTCCATTAACTAATTGTTCCTAATAGCTAAAGTATTTGTTACAGAAGCCAGTCGTTTGTTCAGTGTCTTTTTTGTTATGTTAGGTGCGCATATTGGAATGACCTTTTCAGATTGTTTTGTACTGTCGAACTGTGGTCGAAATTGTACCTGAAGAAAGCGTCCGAGTTGTTATGCAGTTGTTTAAGATATTATTTGGAAGCAATGTTGCAAATATGTCACTCGATGCGTTGGAAAGTTTGAAATTTAACAATATCAATTTGTCTAAAGGTCAGTTAATTTACGATTGTTGCGTAACTTGTTTGGGGATAGATATTATGAATTCGTTTTAAATGCCTTGGATCTTACTTTATTAAAGCTGATTTGAATTGTTTTAAGAAAGATCATTTGTTATGTTTGTCTTATGATTTATGTATGTTGCATTTGTAGATTTCGCCGAAATTTACATAATGAGAAGTGCAAATTCTTTTACAGAATTTGTTGTTAACAGTGGTCGCTTAGAATTCAATGAAATACTTTTGAAAAGGTGTGCTCTAGCTTTTATTTTTTAGCTATAAATTTTCAATTAATATTTGACAACTTTCTGACAAAAGTATTAAAATCATTTTGCATAGGTGTACTATTTCGTGGCGTAAAGATTTGTTTTACAAAGATGGTATACCTTCGAGTGCAGAAATCACTGCCTATGTTATTATGTTTGAGCCGTTTGTATCACTAACAATTCAGTTATACCAGTCAACGAACTCAGTAGGCGTGCAATGCTCGGTGATACTATTTTGCGTGAATTTGTATTTTTTGCAAAGAAATGAATGAAAATTCAGTAATATAATCCAGTATATTAGTCTTTGATAATCAGAATAATACTTCAGATATTGGATCTCTTGTGTGTGCTTGTTCGAGGTGGAATAAATTATTCCATGCTTGATCCTGAAACTCGATTACTAAACTTTGTCATCGAGCAAGTGAATGAAATTGGCGAACGAAATCGGTAACGTGAATATCTGGGTTTTACCACTTTTTTCATGATTATATAGTGGAAACACTGATGTATTTGATGTAGTTGTAACTGGAATTCAAAAGTTTCAATCGCAATTTTTTTATTAGAATAGCTCTGGATGATGATGAAAAATGGTTCTACTCCGTTTTTGATTATTTGTTGGTGCTTTCTCGTACGGATAGCCGAGGACAAGTAATCATGAGCTGGGATAAAATTTGTTCGCTTGTAGATTTTTTAATCAAGTCTTCTCGTGTGCGGTCATGTTTAGCACCATTTGGTTTGTATCACTTTCTTAACATATATAAACTTTTTAGTCAAAAACAGCCGATGATTTTTATTCATTGATTAAAGTCATTATTTTTCTTGTATTGTCTACTATCATCAGTGCAAGTTTTTTTCAGCTTTAATTTCGCTTCAAACAGTTCTGTTAGATGTCGTTGGGATTCGGTGTTCTTTCGACATTACACTGCTGAAGATGCTGCAATCAGTTGACCATTTAGCTGCAGTGAGTACGACCAAAATTCTCCAGCTTTGGTCGTTGGCTATTCTGGGCTCCCATATTAATGGCGATGCACAAAAGTTGTATACTATTTATTAAACTAGATTTTTAAATTTGGCATGAAATAGGTGAGATAGAAAAATAATGTGTAAATTTAGATTTTGTGAAAATCGATATCAATATTTCTCTTATAATTGAATATCCTTCTACAGCTGGAGGAAGACATCTTTGCTATTTTTCGAATGCTTGCAACATTTATCAACAAAAAATTGGGACTTCGACGCAAGCTTTAATGCTACCATTATGATGCGATTCTGTTGTACTACTATCACGCGACCAATTGACTTTTTTCTTAAAAAAATGATCAGTATTCTAGAAAATGTAATTTTTTTAATTTTGTTAAATTTTCATCGTTCGTTTGTAGTATTTGCAATCAGTAATTGATTGAAGTTGTAGGATCTGCATTGTTTTGATCGCCTCGTAGCCGTGCTTCCATATTTGTTTGTGTTCTTGTGTGTTTTAAAAGAAGATTCAACTTTTACAAGGATTGAACAGATATATGATAATGCTGCAGTGGAAATTGGACGGTTTGCTTTTGCGTATTTATCATGTTTAATCTTGACGTTCTTATCATTTTTTTAAATTTTATTAAAGGATTGAAAGTTCAATTATAAATATGTTTTTTTACTAGTTTGTTGATGGCATTGCTCAATGAGTGTCTTACATCGCTCTGGCAACTTACTTGTTTGGATTATTTTGACGAAAAAAACATTGAAAATTTGATGGTCTGGTTTCTTTTAATCTTATCTCACGCTCTCCGTTCAGGTAGTTATACAGGTCACGTTACTCAGTGCTCGAGATATTCTGCTCTTGACAATTAAATACATCTACATAATATTTGGGCTGCGAATTTTTGATCCTATTGTGTTATAACTTTTTCGTACATTCACTACAAGATCTATCATTTCTTTCTATTCTAATAATTTAATATTTTTTATAGGTAATATGGAGTGTATTACAAGTACTTTTAGTACTCATTTCAAAATTAATTTGTCTACTTTCCAAGATCTATCGATTTTCTATCCTCGTACTCATGCTGTGCTACTTTCTTTTCTCAACGTCCTCGGTTTTCATGACCATTCATTCTACTCTTCTTCAAGGTAAGTTGATTTTTCATTTTCATATTTTTTTTTGACAATATCTATATTTGTCTTAATTTACAGACATTTAAGCGATTTATGCTTATTGTCACGCTGTCGTGCAGCGGGTTTGGATGCAGCTAGTGATATTGCACTTTTATCTGATTTCTGTTCTCCAGAGATTTTGTTAACTGTCGTAATACGTGGTTGGCTTATATTTCATTTAAGGTCACATTTACATCCGTGCAAATCTGTCTTATGTAGTGTAAAGACTTAGGTTTTAACTTTGCCATACTTTAAAAATAAAAGTTAGCAATCAGAATGTATTCGCATTGTAGGAATTTGGATATTGAAATGCAGAAGAAGATATTAATAAACATAATAAATCGTTTCAAAAGCTGTGACTCCGTATGTTTTTCGTTTTGCTTTTATATATATTGAGTCGTTGAGTACAATTTTAGTATTATTTAAGACCATTTTCCAGCTTATCATTGATTTGGATATTTTTGAACTTGTTGCGTCTACAGACATTGCGGAAACGTCTGTTGCTCTGAAGTTTTTAAGTGATAGTGTCGGTAAATCTGCGGTTCTGGATGATTTGATAGCAATTTTCCTTCACTCCCAGCAGGTGATTACAAAACCTTAAAGTTTTTTAACTGTTACAAATAGTTTAGTTGTCTTTTTTTAATTTATTTTTTTTCCACCTGTTTTTGCTTCAAATACTAGAGCTGCAATTCGTACAAGACAAAAAATTGATAAATATACTTTTAATCATTTTTTAATTTAAAACCTGTAGTAGTTAGAAATCTTTTTGTTGCGAGCTCTCGATTTGTTTATAATTTTGTGGGCTATTTTTATTTTCCTGTCTTGTTCGGTTACATTTTAGAATTTGAGTGAAAATATTAAATGATAGTTATCACTAAAAAAATAATTCATTAATTTCGTGCAACTTATTCAAAATTTCAGAGTAAGAATGTCGCTTTGAAATCTCTTTTGGTAGACATGATAAAATCGGAACGGTTTTCTGTCGACTCTGTTTTTAAAAGGTTTATATGATATTCATTGACTAAATTCTACCAATTTGCTTCAAATACTGTGAGTCAAGGCTTAATCTCTTTTAAACTAGCAGCATATACTGTTTGTGAGTTTTTTTTGCTTGAAGTTGTTATCTTCCATTCAAGTTTTTTATCATCTATCAGCTTTCCCTTTTCAGCTTTGTCGAAACTTCGGAGTTGATGATTAAAGATTATAACTTTAAATTTGGGGATCCAGTGCTATTTTCTTCTGATGTTTTTGCGGACTTACTGCAAGATGCTATTGGCACAAAAAGTGTGTATATTTTCAATAATTGTGGTTTCGGTTTGGCGAAAAAGTATTGTCAAGCTTTTTTCAGGTTTCAGTATTCAAGCGGAATCTGTATGTACTATGTTATGCGCAATTGAAGAAAGACATGTGGAAATGATATTACGAAAAGCGGTACCACATTTATCTCAGATCATTTCAAGTTTCTGTTCCTTTCAAGAAACTAGGTGGCCAAATCTAAGCACATATATTGGAGAGACAGGGATTCCGTTTACATACCTGTTTTCTGACAAAGTTCATTGCAGTACGAATACGAGAGATATGATGTTTTGGCTACTTTCATTGACATGGTCGACCATTTGAAAGATTATGAACATTGTTCAGGTATGAGTGTTTTATTCACCAATTTTATGAACGTAGTTTGTGGTTCAAAACTCTCCAAACGCTTTTGAAATTAACTGATTTTTGTGGATCAAATGAAATTAGAAAACCCCTTAGTATCTAAAATGTAAAACATTTTAGATGATGTACATGAAGAACACTCCTCGTCTCTGTCACAAAGAGTTAATGCGATTTCTGATTCATTTGTTTCACTTGCATTTGACTCCTGCATTGATTCTCCTCTACAACTTTTTGTCCACAACAAAATCGCGGAGGTCCATTTGTACATCTTTTTGATTGGGTTTTATTTTTTATTACAAAATAATTTTCGGATTTGATTTACAGAAACCAGAAAGTATTATTTGTGAAAAAGCATCTAATTGGGCTACCGATATATCGTTGTTTGATTACTGGATGCAGCGATATGCAGATTCTCTTATGATGCGAGTCAGTTTTTGCAATTTTTATAGTAGATATGGTTATCATAATCGTTATCATACAGTTTGGGTATTCAGAGTGGATCTGGAGCATTAGAAGTCATTTGTGCAGTCACTTTCGGGATTAGTAGACACTCTTTTCTTGCAACAATCAACCAAGCACAAAACTCGAAGAAAATTGTAGAACAGCAACTGTCCTTGGCTATAAACTCTAGCCGGTCTTTTTTTTTCTATTTTTTATCACACTGATAAAATTTTCTTACTACAGAGACTTGAGCTTTATATTAAAATGAACTTGCAGATTAATTCAGAAAGTTTTCGAGCAGTGTGATGTCCTTACGTGTCAAAAGTTTCAAAAATTAGATAATCGTTTTCGGAATTTGAAAATAATAGACCGAACAGGCAAGAAAGATTGTGATATAGGTATATATGATTTTATTTCACAGAAAAAGTATTAGTGACAAAGCAAATTTTCTAAATTTTGAAGTATGTTCAAAAAATTTGTTTGCACTTTGTTGGCACTGTGATAACTGCTCCCAAATATCGCCTTTTAGAATGATTCAGTTCGTTTTTGCAGGTTTTATTGCTGATGCCATACAATCTGCTTTTGATGTGACACAACAAATTCAACAGTATTTTCGCAAGAAATGCAATAAAACGCATTTGTACTCACATTTAGAAAATTTGGCTAAAGGTTGTTTACAGTTTTTAAAATGATATTTTAAAGTGAATGTGACTTCACTACTTTTTGCTGTAAATTAAAATCATTTTAACTTCTAATATATATTTTCAGGTTTTTCTTGGCAGTTGAGTTTTTATCATCCAACTTCTTTAGAAGGAGTTTGAAATAATGGTTATCAAAAAATTTAAAAAAGAATAAATGTTTCAGCTGTGATAAGGATGCCGTTCTTGAACGATATATCATGCATACCGGTATCTGCACTTTTGTAAGTTTTTCGTTGTGATTTCATGTTTTTGTAAATGTCTCCAGTAAAGTCATATTTTCAGATGCGGTTGGAAGCCAGAACCAGAAATTCATTGTACATCAGTTTCGATACCTACAGTAAATATTCATTACCTAGGAAATGTAGATATTTTGCAAGATTTTTTATGGAGGATTTTGTGGGCTGGATGGAATCGTCGGTCTAATTTTGATAATTTTTCAATGTCTTTATTCGGTGTGATTTCATCAACGCCTTCTGGTTCAGAGCTCGCAAGTGCCAGTCTGGTATTTAGTTATCATGATTACAATGTTTTGAATGAACGAAACTTACATAAATTAAGTAAAGTGCTGTTTCTCAAGGTCTTTGTGTTTAGTTTCTTGATGAAATTTCTATTTCATATATGTGAGCGATGATTCATCAACATTTTAGAATGTGGCAGAACAGCTCATGGCTAGTACTATTGCTATTGAAGGCCTAACAAATTTATTACTTGAAACACTGTTGTATCCAGAAAGGGGAAATCCGGTCACTGGACGGTTTATCGTAAAACCTCGTGATACATCACAAGAATTTCTTTCATCATTGTGATCATTTTAAGAAATAACTTTTGTGACCAGATTTTTTATTTCTGTTGTATGATACTAACTTTTAAAACTTCTATTTTTTTGTCGATTACGGTTTGAAGATATGGACAGCGTTTGACTATGCTGCAAGCGAAACTGTTGGGTGGTGCTGTCGTCGATTCCATCAACAGAAAAAATCTAGAAATTTTCAATGATCAAGGGAAAAGATATCGACCAGGACAGTTTTCAGTTCTTACTTCCTGGAATATGGCAGGCTTGTTAGATCATGAGCGCAGTTTGTATAAAGATGTGGTGCAAGGCAAAAGTCAGCTTAAAAAGGTATGTTATATTTTAGGGCATAAGTTAGCAATTTATGTAAATAAAAAATTAAGATTCAATGATTTCTGTTGATAAATTTTGATTAGTCAAAGCAAAATAAGAGCATTACAAATTTTGTGTTTCGTTTCCATAAGACGGATTGAAACTTTTGATCAGAATAGTCGCAAAAATATTATAGCGATTGCCTTCATCAGACAGCAGCTATTTACTGAACAGCAGTCATGATACTACTTATGAATCATGTTTACGAATGCTTTTCGATACATATTCCCATTGGTTTCGTGCTGGTATTGATGCTGTGCCTTTACCACTTCTCTCTGCAACCATTAAATCGGTACTTTTTTCTTTCGCGATGAATTTCACATGACTCCGTTAAGTACTTTATTTCTAGATGTCCTTACTCTCTGATTTATTCACGGAGATGGATCAGTACCGTTTCGTATATACGCATATGAAGACACTATTTACAATACGTTCATATCTAGATAACGTAGATGTTGGAAATATCGTTTATTCATTGCTGAAGTGCGTTTCGATTCTTGGCATTGTTAGTTTTTTTCTTTATCATAACACTATTTATAGATATAAATTCAAGTATATTGTCTTTACTTTTTGTTGTAATATGAAGCACGTTTTGAATGAATGTAAATGTGAAAATGGTGCGATGATGTCAAATAATTAATTGTTGGTAATAAGTAGAAATTAAAATATGACATGCATGGTAACAAAAACTAGAACTCTTGAGATTTTGGAGATGGATTCATCCAGCATTTATTTGAATGCTAGTTATTTCAATATTTATTTAATAACTTATTCTTCATGACCGTGTTTAACTGTTTCTAGAGTATCATGATTCATTTTTCATTCTGTGTCATTTGCAACATAATTTTTCTGCTGTTACTTTTCAAAAACGTTTTTAAAAATTAATTTAACAATGATAATATTACAGATTTTCCGTCGTTATTCGTTATTTCGGATGCAAATTTGCATTTGGGAAATTATCAAAAAATTTTAACTGTCTAAATTTTCAATGCGATTAATTTATGTTCAAAAGTATGGTCAAATAAAATTCACTTGTTTGCATTACCTTCAAATCTTGCCATTCATCGTCATGTTAAGTTAAAAGAATTTGGCGTTTTTTGCAGGAAGATTCATCGGTATCGAGAGTTGATGCTCAGAAAACAGTTTTAACATGGGTTGAAACTGGTTTAATTTCGGATTTTACTGAAATTCGAGTCCGGACATTGCAAGGCTGCTTGTTCCTGTTACAAGCAATCAGCTATGATGATTTAAAACCTGTATTTCTTCTTCTGGAATCGTTTCTGATGAATTCTCATATAAAGTAAATTTGGTTTTTTCATTTTTAGTTTAATGCTTTTATATGTTGTTCGTCTGAATTTATTGCTCTTTCATTTTTTCTTAAATAAGAATTAATATTTTGTCCTCTAGTGGTTCGGGGTTGCGTGAATACGAAACTTTGTTGTGGACTGTAAAATTTTTCTTTTTCGACAAACCGTCTTATTCTTCAAGTCATTCACGGCTTGCATTCATCAATGTAAGTGTTACATAAATTCTTGTGACCTTGAATATTTTTTAATTTCAGTATTATTTCTAATACATATAAATAATACGATCTTCCAATACATTTTTAAAAGTTTATATCTTTAGCTGGTATGTGAGAAATTCACTGCAGCTTCTACTCCTCTGTGGTTAATGGATTTACTAACTGTAGGTGTTGAAAAGTTGATCGTTGGATCCCGAATATATGTGCTTACCTTCAGTCGCATTGCTGTTCGTCAGTTTTTGCTTTTTTTTTCATCGGTTTAATCACTAAGTTTTCTCAGTTCAGACTGTAAAAAGTTAATGTTTTGTAGACTGTTATTTATATTAAGTTATGTAGTAAAAATTGATAGTTCTAGAAGCAATGGAGAACTACTTCAACGCTCCTCAAAAATTTTTGTATGCGTTCCGTATTTTCATTGCATGCTTGTATAGAGGCTTAGAAGAAGGAAAAGGACAGCATTTGGGGACTCAGCCATATGATTCAAGAATTCATCTCATGGAACAGCACACCATGATATTCAAGATGTATTTATTCAGATAAAATTGTTTATACTGGAGAATATTGTTCTTACTCGTAAAAAGTTGACTTTTGAATTTTTTATTTTTTAAGTAATTTGTGTTTTTTCCTTTTAGATTGGCGGAGGGAGCTGAAGAAGATGCGTTGCAAATGATGAAAGTATTGCCTTTTGTATTAATCGATTCGCTTAGCCAAAGTGAACTTATCAATAGCATTTTAAAAGAATTGATATATCGATATTCAGGTTTTCCGCATCCACGTTCCACTGCAATCTTTACTATTATTCATCACGTGAGTGTTTCTGCATTGTATACAGGGTTCAAGCCTTTTAGAGTACAGCTCTAATAGCGGTATTTTTTCAGTGGTTTATTGCCTTGCGTAGTTGCGAAACTGAAAGCGTTGTACTAGAGTGGACTTTGAATGGTCTAGATTCTTTCAAGTATGTAGCTGACCCTGCACTGTTCCGGTTTTATGTCAGTGCATTCTTATGTTCATCATCACCAAACCCTTACATTGCTAATCTGTATGGATCTTACGTTTATTTTTCAATTTACGAGTGTACTGATTTACAGTTTCTTATTTTCAAGTAATCTCTATTTTGTGTGCATCTATTGATTGCATGATTTCGCTAAAATCAATAGAACTGAAGCACGTATCATAGTTCTGAAATCTGGCCATCCATTTTCACTAGTTTGAGAAAATTCCCGAAGAAAATCTATGCTCTTCAAGTCTTAAGACTTTAACTTGTCCTCTCAAATGTGATTTGAATGCGATGTTCAGACTGATTTACATGATACATAAGTATTTTTTACGGAAAACCAATTTTTATCATTTTGAGTATGTGTAAATTATGTTTTCTAAAAATGCATCATTTTCAAAACTTTTTTGAGGTTTTATTTTGTGATTGGGCGCACTTCGAATTCTGCTCTGATCGATGATTGTTTGTTTGAGTTTTCAGTACGGTCACTGTTATTAAGGGTTTGTTTGCTTATTTATAACTAGTGAATGATGTCCCGTTCTTTATCGCTGCTTGTTTTGCAGTTTGCTGTCAAAGGATTTCTCGTTTTTGACTTGTGCAATATCTTTAAGAAGCTAGTATTCGGACATCAGGTTAGAACTATTTAAGTTTTTCGAGAGTTATTTTTGCAGATGAAGAAAGAAGAGAGAGATAAGTTAAAATCATCATTGGAAACGTTTGTGGCGAACGGAAAAATATGTCGAGATCCAAGAAGAACAGCCTCTTTTCCGGAGTTGTAATTTAGTAATTCTTACTTGTCTGAAATCCAGGTTGATGTCATATGGATAATGGTTGTGGCCAGTCGAATATGTCGTTAAGTAATTGTAATGCTTTTTTGATGTCAAATCAAAATCTGATCCTAATATCGTAAATAACCATTATTACTGCTATCAATTATCACTAAAAAACTGTAGTTTTCGAACATTCAAAACTGGATTGCATTCCTGGTACTACTAGGGAACTTTTGGAAAGCATTATTACGAACACTTCCCGATTTCTTATTTATTTCGTTATTCTATCCAGAGTATCATGTAAGCTGAGATAATCCCAATTTAGGTTACAATTAGGTTATAGTTACATTCTCATTTCTATGGATTAGAAGTTTATTGTGGGATTTACTCCTTAACTCTATTTTAGACCATCCTGGGCTTACAGAATGACGAGTCTCTATATAAGCTTAATTGAGAGCAAATCATAGTAACTCAGAATACTAACTTTCAGTGAAGACTATTTTTACATGTGATGCATTCATATCATTTGTATAACTTTGAGTAAAGGTATTGTGAATGGTATTTATCTACTAAAATTGCAAACAGAAAGCATCAAATTTTGCTTGTTACTTGGAAAATGAGGGCATAAAGCATCAAATTTGCTTATGATGCATCAGCTTTTCAAGGTCCATAACTATTTTGCAGTTCTTCTTGTGTGATGTAGGTAGTTCAGTTGAAGATTTTATTTTGTAACTTCATGACTGACAATATCTTCCATGTTTCATTAATTAGAAAAGTACTAACTTAGCGTACAGGCTGTTATTTCTTTATCAATGAAATTTAAGTGTGCATACAAAGCCGGACGCATAACGAAGAATTGAGGAACTAGTATGTGCTCTAAAGGAATCGTAGTAGCGTACACAGATAACAGATATCTTTGGTTGTCCACGAATTTCTATAGTGTAAGGATTAGGTGTAAAAAGTTTAGTTGCTTTTATATGGGCTGAGTTGATTTTTGATGCTTTAGAAAAGAACTGACTGAAATGGCATATAGGAAGAGCAAAAAGTGTTGTTGATTGCTAGCAACCCAGACAAGCAGTGATAGGTGGTAGGGTTTTGCAACCACTCGTTTGCAGCAGAAAGCATTTACTTATTGATTGTACTGGTTGGCCGGTTGTTATTGAAGCTTTTCAGGATGGGGTGAAGTGTTGTTGTTACATCATCTATCAATGAATAGAAATGATCATTACATGAGCAAAGTTGGTAAGTGTGTGCACACCCACACACACACATACATACACATACACATACACATACACACGTACATTTATATGCAGTGCATAAATGTGTGTATACATACACGCACATACGCATGCAAACATACATACACAAAATATATCAACAAAGTGAAGAAAAAGGGTAGAGGCAAACGTTCCACTATGCACTGCATTTCATTGGCATGCATGCATACACTCTCCCTCATAAACTCTGTCTTTTCAGGTAGTTCAGTGTACGTTCATTTTTGCTTACTTACATTAAAACTCTTTAAGTAATTCTTGAAGGTGCTGATTACGAGACGTACAACCATCCTCGAATGGCGCAGCGTAAGTCTATTTTTATTTTTTTCTGTCGTCATATGAAGAACACATGGTATATTTCTAAAGAGTGTGATAATTGCTTATTTCATTTGCTACATCCTTTCATGATAAGTATTAGTTTCAGTAATCTAGTAATGATCTATCAATTAGCTCAATGTCCAGTATAAACGAATAAGCCGTTGCTAGTAGCCCCTCCACCCCTTCTCATTTTGTAGTTTTAAAAACGTCATCTTAATGCAGTTTTGTAAAACGAGTTATATCTGTCGTACAGTAGGATTGTTGAAAGCATTGTGTATCATCACGTTACCATCCATAATTCTGATCAGTTTTGGCTCATTCTTTTACTTATAAGTAATAAGTTACCATTATTGTACTTCAAACTGTGCTAAACTATTGGCTAAATTTTTACTACTCTTATTGCTGATAAGAACACTGCGAGACAGTTATACATAAAAAATGGATTGTGCGCAGACGTTTTAAGCAACGTAATACTTGTTAGTATATGGAAGACTCTTGATTTGGATTTTTTATGAGCGCTGCAGTTGAAAAAAGAGCAATATCTAGTCTTCTTTTTTATATGAATTGACATATAATCACGATATTTTGAAGCAAGGCTTCATTATACGTAAATAATATATATTGTGAACTTCTTTATCCATGATAAACTTCTGATCTGGGTTTATTTTATTGTTAAATACTGTATACACTGCAAGGATATGAAAGTTCATGAACTTGAAAGGGTAGCATCACTCCAACCAATCTTAACGCTTGTGAACACAGACAAAAACTAACACACTTATGCGTTTTTTTTCTATCTTGCTAAAGTGCTGATAGAATTAATTGCTTGTTATGCAAAATTGTCTGCATTAATTTCCATTCAGGAAACACTTTTTGCGCGTCTGGTATTCTGTTTATTATTTCAGGCCGTAAAGTACCCGAGGGTGAACTCTGTGCAGTCTGTTCAGATCTCGCAACAGGATATCATTACGGCGTGGCAAGTTGCAATGGGTGGTAAGGTTTCTTATGTCGTTTGAAAATTGACAATGATACCTTTTGTTATCTCCACATTTTGAATAAAAAGACAATTCATGCATTTTTTCTAGTTAGCTTTCGTGATTGCATTATGAGCTAGAAAAATTTTTCAATCGAAATGAACAGCGGGATTCACTTGTAATTTTATGTAAATTAAAAAAAGATTTGATTCCAGCAAAACATTTTTTCGTCGCACCATAGTGTCGGAACATACGTTTGTTTGCCAGTATCAAGGAAATTGTGATGTTAACAAAAGTGAGTTTCATTATTCAGTTTGAGGAAAATTATATTCTTATTATTCTAATCGCACTGGATGTCTTTCTTTTATTTTCTCATGGGGAGATTTGTGATAACCTGATGAACTTAAGTTCCATAAACATTTTTAGATATCCGTTGTGCTTGCCGGCATTGTCGTTTCAACAAATGTGTGGCAGTGGGGATGGATGCAAAAGGTTTCGTTATTCCTTTTTCTTAATTGTTTTGGTATTTAGTTATTACCGAGCAGTGTAAATAAAATTGAAGTCAGTAGTCAGTTAGTAGAGAAGCTTTAAATTGTGCCGCATTTTTTTCGGCTTGATTTTTACTTTTCCAGCGATTCAAAATGATCGTGATCGCATTGGACCAACCAAAAAAATGAAGATGGCGAATCAAAATTCAGAAGATGATTGCTCGATTCAAATTCGTTCCGCAGAAGAAAAAGTAGATTAATGAAAATTAATAATATTCGTTTTCCTCTTCGATTATTCTTATTTTGCTTATTTATAAAAGATTTCGTTTTTTAGCTAATAGAACGTCTGCTTGCGATTGAAAAACTATGCATGAGGTTACGTCAGTGTGTACTTCCCGAGATCAGTGGACTCAAAGAAGCGGTTTGCGAGCCCTCACTTGTTAATGATGTTAATAATCTAAAAATAGACGTATGCCTTTACTATATAGGTTTAATTTATTTCTTATTTTTTTGTGGTGCTGGATTATGTGTTCAGTATTTTAGCATAATTTTGCCAGTTTTAATTTTCTAAAATTTTTAGCCGTATACAACAGCTAAAGAATTATATATTGCAACACTGAAAGATATACAAATGTGGAACAAAAGAGAAATGCGAGTTGGTTTGGAATGGGCCAAAACTTTTGATTTATTTAATCAGTTGTCTGTAGATGACCGCGTAAATCTTTTTTCTTTTTTTTTTAATTTAAATTTTCTATTGAAACTGCAAGTTATCAGTCATGTTTACTCTAATCACACAGAGATATGACACTTAGATCCTTAAGTTAATCAAAAATTGCAGGTTGCCCTCATTAAGAATTTCGGGTTTACTTTTAATCTTTTGAATCGAAATTACTATGCACCTGATCACGGCGCTGATAAATTAGTTTTGCCAAATGGTGCTTATGTTCGACGTCAAGTTCAAAATGAAGTTAAGCTACCGGGTTGTAGGTAAATTGTAAATTTTAATTCTGTGTTCTTCTAAGCTGTATGTATAAATATTAGGTATGAATGTCAGTTTTTCACTTTTTAGTTTCTTTTTCCATATTTCCTGTGAATCCCTTAATTTTTTTGAAGGTCCATTTATCACCGTCAGATGGATGAAATTATGCTCCCTTTTAGGCAGTTGAAAATAACCATGCCTGAATTTGCCCTCTTCAAAGCTAGTGTCTTCTTTAATCCAGGTTTGCTCCATCAATTATTTCTACTGAAAGTACATTTGAAATATTAAGACTCAATTTATCCTTTCAGATGCGATAAATCTCTCTCCTTTAGCAAAGTCTCAAATTTATGGGGAGAGATCAAAATATTTATCAGCATTATTTTATTTAATAACTTCAAAATGTGGAATTACTATGGGTGCGCAAAAGTATGGTAGTTTGCTCATGATGGCATCTTCTGTTCAAGTTGGTACTTTCATTACTACACTATTTTATCGGATAACATGAATTACTTCTTACCATTCTTGCAGAAGGTGGTATATGTTATTGCAGTTTTGTTTCAGAATATTATTGCTCAAAACGAGGAAAACATGCAAGTCATGGATTTTTTTGAAGAAAATTGGAAAATGGATAATTTTGTTAAAGAAGTATGCTTAAAAGACCCGTGAAATCACTGATGGAGAAGAAACTTGTGCATAGAATTGAAATGATTAATTTTCTCGGCTTGTGCGGTAATATCAAGTCTGTCTTGACCTCTTGTATTTGTTGCTTGGTATCTTACGAATTTGAGATAGTTTGGAATGTCTGTCTACGAGCGTAGAATGAGTTTATTTTTAAATTGATTGTATTTATTCTTCCATTTTTATCATTTGAAAATTCGTTTGATTGCAGCATTGATTCTTACAACCACCACATCATACTCCCTACATTTTCAGCAAAAGTATGAGACTGTTTCTTGAATATAATGTGTTAATTACTTGTTTTGCTGAGATGATTATTTCTTACGGTGATATACTAATATGTGTAAAACTTGATCAGGAAATTTTTGTGTGTTTTTTAATGTTTGATTATGTTAATTGGGAATGAGAGAAGAGTATGAATGGACTATATTGTCATCCAAAACGATAAATATGTTTCAAATTGCCTGTAACCAAGTGATTTGGTTGTTTCTCTTAGCATTTAACGTCCATTTTTTTGATATTCTTCAGCGCTGTTCTGCATATTGTATATAGCAAACAGAAAGTAAAGACGGGATGACTTTTATGGACAAACAGTTAGTTGTTACTTTTGGAATGCATGTTATTGATTGTGAAACTGTTTTTGCGAAATATAATTTGCTTTAATGTAAAGAAAAAGTACACAATGAAATAGTTTTACCTAGACTCGATGCATACCATTGAACTTATCATGAATCGTAGATAGGAGTGGGTAGTGTTATTTGTCTTTTTGTATGAATTTTACTGAGAGGTGCTATGGCTTGAGTCATTTTTTTCTAATGCCATGTTATTTCTTGATGTGCATTATACATGGTAGCCAGTATAGTAGTCTGTGAAGTAGTTTTAGTACGGTCAGAGGTTCGCAGTCTTGACAAATTCATTTAAAACTACCTGTGGTATAGGTAGTTTCCTGAGACAAATTCATGAGGGAGTATAACAACTTATGATTACAACTATACTTATTAGTAACATGGATACAAAATTATGTGTGGACCGACACTGCTGATAACAAATCAGAAGAGTTGCTAAACAAGCAAACGACTGATAGAAATAATTCGAGAAATATAATAACCTGGGGTTATTTCAGGCATATATAGGAATCAGTAGTGTGTATAGCAAGCAAACAGATAGCTGTCTGTTATCTCAGAATCTCAAAAGTATATTTCTTCACAATGTTACGATACCGAAGTAATTCATTGTAAACTAAAACAAATTTGGTCAAATACAGTATGCTCTCAGTCTGAACTCTTTCATCCTTACTGTTCTGTCGTCAATTGTAACGAATATTTTTGTCACAAAAACAAATTATTGTGCGATAATGAGAACATATACGTTTTTTCTATTGGTTCCTTTCACCTTTGGTTTTATTTCTTTGTAAGAAATGTAAATTATTGTCAATATTATCGTGCCATTTGTCACTTTGATTTGTGCTACAGAGAATAGATTTTTAGGATTTATAAAAAATTTTTATACTAAATGTTGTTCAACTTTCTACGGGAACTCCTTATCACTTGAATTATTTTACCTCTGTAACTGTTGCAAACTGATAATTTCAAATTAAAATTTTAGAAATTTTGCCTAAAATATGAAATTCTGCATTTTTCTTAATTTTTATTGCACTTATCATTACCCAATATTTTCATGCTGTGTTTGGCACTTTCCTTTATTACTATCACTTTTTGGTTTTGTTTTTTTTTTTGCATTTGGTTTAAAACTTTTTTTTAGCATCTTGATAATTCTATGATTCCAGGATATGAAAGATAATAATAAAACTCTGGTATTAAGTAATATACGAATCTTTACATGATTCTTCATGATGAGTCAAGAATCAAGAAATGGTATGATTAACTGGCTAGAAATTGTTGAAGACGTAGGAGGTGAAATGACATGGATAACACAGCCTAAAAATTTTCCAGCAAGAAAAGGCAAACAACAGAAAACCAAAAATTCAAAAGAGATAATCGAAATTATTTTAGCAAAGGAATCTGTGCAGGTTAAATCACGGTGGAAACATATCTCCTTCTTAAATCATTAATTATTACTGCTCAAAATCCAAATGCTATGACGTAAATAGTATTTCGAACAATGTCAGTGAAATTTAAAGTATTTGGTCCAAAAAGATTATTATATTTTTACACTAATTTATTGAGCATTTTAGAAAGTTTTAAAAGAAGAATGTGTCAATCGTTGTATCTCAAGCCATTTGCTATTCGATCATTCGAGAGAAATATTAGGCAGCATGACACATCAAATGCAATTGTCAGTGCTAAAGTCAGTCGGTTATGTTGTTGCAAAAACAATTAAAGTATGTCTTTTTCAAACATAGCTTACAAGTTTTCTTTGACAAAGTTTTTCTAATTTGTCACTTTTTTCATTATATTTTTAAGAAATTAAGCGTAAGCAAATTATTCATGTCACATAAAATTATCTTTTTATATTCAAAAATAATTGCATCAGGGATCTTGTTTTTTAGCTGCATTCTTTCTATACATTTCGGTGCTTCAAAAATTGCTTTCAACTCTTTCATATTTAATTCAGTCTTTATTCATTGAAGACTATATACGATGGTGTTCACTTTAATGATGAGCAGTTATCAAGAATACGGGAGTATGCTATGGATGATCCAATTATTTTTATTCCAACACATAGGGTATGTTTTCCAAATTCATATTAAATCTGATACAATTTTTTTGATTTAATAATCATTGAATTTTACTTCACTTATTCTTATTCATTTGCAGAGTTACATGGATTTCTTGATTGTTTCTCTTCTTTGTTTTCATCGCAATATTCCTCTCCCAGTTATAGCTACTGGAATGGATTTTATGAGTTCAAAATTTTTGGGAGAAATCTTACGCCGCTGTGGATCCTTTTTTATGAAACGACGGTTTGGAAAGGTGGCATTTTCATATTGCTGATGTTACTTATCACACAATATCGTTTTTTATTGCTCTGCCAATTTATTTGTCAAATGTACTTTTTCACTTTTTGTAGTGTCTAATATTCTTACCTGTTATTATATGTTTTACAGGATAAACTCTACTGGTCTTTATTTTCTGCTTATGTTCAGACGCAGTTACTTGAAACAGATAATTCAATCGAATTTTTCTTAGAAGGTGCTCGAAGCAGATCCGGCAAAAGTCTTTATCCTAAATTTGGCTTGCTGCAAACATGTATCGAGCCATTTTTACGTTTTCAATTATATGATATAGTAAGATTAAGATTTCTTAAAGAAATCATTATTGCTTTTTCTATTTAGCACTGTTTTTCGAAAGCTTTGTTTGTTTTTTTCGGATATTTGCGATTTTTCAGATTTTCGTGCCTGTCACTATAGACTATGATAAAGTTTTGGAGGAATCATTGTACGCTTATGAACTTTTTGGTTTTCCTAAACCGAAAGAGACAACTACTGGTACAGTCATATTGTAATAATTTAACATTTTTGAGTCTTGTAAAATTCTATTTCTTAAAGTTACAGGACTGTTCAAGGCGCGCGAAATTCTTTGCAAACGTTTTGGTCATATTTATGTGAAATTTGGAGAACCATTATCCATACGAAAATATTTTGAAGGAAAAATCACTCGGTGCCTTGCACCATGGCAGGTATAAGTATAGCTATTGTATTTGAATGTTTACCAAGTATTTTGGCTCTTTATAAGTTTCATTGTGCCATATTTGAGTTAAGCTAAATTGGTGATTTAGTTAGTAATTCAAGTGATTGTTTCCACCGAAAATTATCACTCATATATCACTATATCGCAGTAATTGTTTTTTAAGATTCTATCACAGTTATTGTTGATTTTCTACTGAAAGCTTGTACTTTACAGATCATTGGACTAAAATTCACTAAAGTGAAAAATATATGTCATGTATTTTTCAATGCAAATTGTAATAGGATGCAAAGTATTAAATATATTCATGTTAAATTATTTCTTCTCATGTTTCAATGCAAGTATAGTTTCTCTTTTTTGCAGGTGCAAAATGATAATGGATTATCTTTTAAAGAAAAAGAAGTCGTTAAAAACTTTGCATTCCATATCATACGTATGCACAATTCAAATAGTACAATAACCATTTGGCCATATACCTGCTTCATATTGTTGCAGGTTTCAAGCGTTTTACTTCTATATTTTTAATTTTGAATTACTCAATTTTTTTTCTTTCCTTTCACAAAATAAAATTACGATTGCTTTATTGCCAACTACTCTTATTTCAATTTATTTACAGATGAAAAATGAACAGTATCTCAGCTTAACATTTGACAGACTTAGAATTTGCTTAGAAGACCTTATTACATTGGTCATAAAAATGGGACGTCAAGTTTTAATTAAAGAAAGTATTACTGATGACTTAAGGTTATGATTTTATTTACCTAGCCATTGATTTATATAGCAAAAAATTCATTTCTCAGTCATTTTCATTATTCCAGCGTTATTTTTATGTATGCATTTGTGCTGCACAAACATTATTTTTATATTCTAATTTGAGAAAATAATTGATTTCATTATACGTTACCATTTAGACAAAAGTATTTTTTCAGAACTTATTTAAAATTACACTGCGCACTCTTCGAAACTTGTGGGATACCTCATAGTTCATTTATCAAGTTAAGGAAATTCAAATGTGTAGGAAGCGATGAAAGCAATAGTTTAAAGAAAAATTACATAGAAGATATGTTATGTGAAACCATTTTGTCACATTATGCTAACAAGGTAAGTCACTAGTTTTTCACGGATCTAGGAAATCGAATTCCCTTTGTAGTATTAATATGTAAAAGCTACAAAAAAATAAAGATAAGAAACTGTTCCGGTTATTAATAAAATCAAGTGCATTAGAACAAAAAATCAAACAATTTCGTGGTGTAAAAGTTTTTCTTCTATTGTTTTCATTAAGCTTTTTGCTGAAACTACGTATTGTACCTTTAGAGAATAAGTTTTCATACGAGAAAATGTTACTAGTGGTTTCTGTTCATAGTTTTTATCAAATTATTGAATAATACGTCTCAAGTTTTGGCTTTTCTTAAGCTTTTGAAGTTTTGCCTAAAATAGTTGAAAGTTAAAATTGAACTACTGCATTTGTTTGGTTTTCAATTATATGATATATTCTATTTCAGATGATGCATAATATTGTTGATGTAAGCTTATTGTGCCTCGTCCTGTTATCAAATCAAATGCTTCCAAGCGTTGAATATATGTTCAAGTATGAATTATCTTGTATCGTACTGTTTAATAAAAGAAAAATGCCCGACATTAGCTGTAAAACACTCAGTAGAAAATTTGAATTTTATCTATAAATATGTTGCAGGCAGCTGAGATTACTGTTTGTGTATGAATTCGTTTGTGTGCCACAAGAAGAATATATAGATAACTTCTTCAAAGAAAGCCTCAGTTCCTTGCTGCATATTTCTACTATTTCATTAAACGATAATCACATCCTTTTGAATGAGGAACATACTCTAAAACAAATCGCATCCTTTCTACAGGTTATAGTAAATATGAGCTTGAAGATTTAATATGAGTGTAAATTGTTGCACTTATGTAAAGTGGTCGCCTACACAAGATCTAGTCATCTCATAAACTTTCCTCAAAGTTCTAAATCTCAATATTTTGCAGCCATTTATTGCAAAGTACTACCGTGTGATGCAAGCGTTAGCACACTTAACAGGTTTTCCATTCACTGATAGGATACTTTTCGAAGAATCGTTAAATCTCGCTATAAATTTCCATGTGAGACAGCAAAGTAACCATTCATTCCAGTCAGTCTGCATCACAATGGACATAGTTCGAAATGCTATAGCGGGATCTTGTGGACTGGAAATAACACGCAGAATCGTAAGTTTCTGAAGAACAGGGAAGAAATTCTGTCATCAGATTCTGTGAAATATATATGTACATATATAGTATTTCTTGTGAGAAATTTAACTAATATTACGAAGAAGTGAAATATACATCTTCAGAACGAAACGCAGTTTGATGTCGTCAATGTCCATCGCTTGCAGAATATTATGGAGCTTCTAGAAAGTACTACTATGGTTAAACTTTCATTCTGTGATCATTTGCTTGTTTCCAAAATATGATTGATTAACTGGTACTAAAGTTTTATGAATGTGTAATAAATATATGCTTGTTAACTGGATAGACAAAGAAAATAGTGAAGGAATAAAATATTTGACTAATTCGGCCTACCTGCTTTTTTATCGAGTTGTCGGTTATGATGCATGTTTATCATCATCTGAAACTGCTGTGTTAATAGGTGCAACCTGACTTGGAACAAATGTATCACATTTGCTTATTCTTATAAAATCTTCAACGATGCTTTTTTACTTAGAAGTATGAAAAATTTAATTTTTTTAGTAATTTTTGTTAAATATATTTTTTTATGAACTTATCAAGTATTCTATTTTTTTAAATGAAGTACTGAAATACCAAATGATTTCTCTGCATTTGATTTCAGACAATATTAATATCTGTTGTGATAATTGGAAATATTCTGGTGATATTATCTGTTATCATTTATCAACGAATGAGAACATGACTATTAAAGGTTGACAGAACACTGTTATTTGGTTTGACCACAAGAACGAACATAGCATGTAAAACAATGAAGGAGTAGAGTAGCAGAGCAAAGAGTGGTCTGCTTTAGGCAGTCAGAGGGGTCGGAAGTATAACGTGTGTAGAATGACAGACGGTCAAAGTAGCGATAGGCGACGCATTCAATACAAATTCAAATTTAAAAGCGAAGGGTAGTTTACCATTTTCACTTGCTCTTTCGTGAAGCCTGAGTTTGAATTCAGTTTGGTTGGGACATTGGGCGTATCCAATAAAATTCCTGAGAGGGAACGTGGAACACTCTTGTATTTCAAGACCATTCACTGCAGAAGAAGGAAGTTGCTGTAACATCATTTACTGTTTTGTGAAATGCCCCGGATTAAAGCGGTAGTGAGACGATATGGCGCATATTGTAGGCAATTGAACGGCGATGGTATTCCTTTTTGATTTGAATTATAGTAAAGCCTTCATAAAAATTTTCTCTACTAAAGCTTATCCATGACTGCAGACTGTTGGAAGATCGTTTATATGTTTTTTGGTAATGTGAAGTGTGACTAATTAGTATTGAGTATTAATTCAAGCTAAAAAGATTCAGTACTGTTCAATAATTAGATGTCTAGGTTTACTGGAAGACTCGGAAATTTTATATTCCGTATTAATCCCTTCTGCGTCGTGGGTTGAAGCACCTTATATAGACAAACTTGTAAATCGACTGAAAATTTAGTTTTTTTTGTGAATCATTAATCACTCACTACAGAATAGTTTATGGCAAATATGAACTTTTGTTATGTTGATAAAAATTTCGAAAACATATTTTTGTTAATACTCCGCATTTGTAGGTGATGTTTCTGATTCTACCGACGACTCTGAAAAGGTCGAGAATCCAGGGCTGAGTAAGAAGCATATGAAACATAAACGCCGGAATAAGTATATCTGAAATTTTTCGAATTATTTTTCTTGTTTAGATTGTAAGATTCACCTAAACTGATTAAAGACATGTAATTTTAAGGCAAGGAGTTCGAGTAATGCGAGAGATACGTAAGTATCAGAAATCAACAAATCTTCTGATTCAAAAGTCACCTTTTGCTCGCCTTGTGAAAAGTACAGCTAAGGAACTAACTGGTTGTTATATCAGTGTCCGTTTTTGTGTGGAAGCTATTGCAGCATTGCAAGAAGTGATTGTTTAGTTAAATATGATGAAAATTTTCTATCTTTGTCTTTTTTAACACTTCAAAGCATGTTGATTATTACGGATATCTAGGACGATTCATGAAATGCATATCCTTCAGTATCAAAGGCAGTTTTTCATCTATCTTAGCTCTTTAATAAGTTATAGTTTCAAGTTAGCAGTAACATCATTGTTCATTCTTGTGTAAAAAAATATTTTTCAGGCAGCAGAAGCTTTTCTGGTCCAACATTTTGAAAATGCGAATTCATGTACTTTACATCGAAATCGAGTAACCTTAACGATAAGAGACGTGCACCTAGTTCGCAAACTATTCAATTATTAAATAACTAAACAAATTTGGTTTTTAAGATATTTAGAAATATAAAACTCTTCATCAGAACCTACTGTTAAAACAAAAAAGTTCTGATGGATAGTTTTCAGTATAAGCAAAACGGTTATTGCTGGAATTATGCTTCGAAATGCATTCTGTAATAACTTTATATTAGCACCAGGTGCTGTTTCCATCATCTCGCAAGGCAAGCATTCATCGTACTAATTTTATATTTGGGTCTGTGCACTAAAATGAATTATTGACTGATATGTAACATCGTGTAAGAGCTAGAAAAGTGGCTTTCAGCTGTGGGTTAGTTAACATCTTGAACATGTGAAATTGTTTGTTATATAGAATGTTCAGGAATTGTTTGCCTCAAATGTGTATTTTTTTCATTGTCAAATGCGTTTTATTTTTTGTTCATATTGTTTATTGTTTTTTTTGTAACAAGATAGTGGACTGCCTCAAATTTCCTCGCTGTTTCGGTAAAATAATGGTTATTTGTTTCGGATTTGTATATTTATCAATTCGCTTAATTTTAATCTTTCCTTCTTTTTCAAGTCAAGAACGTCTATTCTTTTGCTTGCTAATGATATGATTTCTTTAGATTAATTTAGCATTAAGTATCTCTATGGCTTAAGAATGGATAGTTATTGTATTTCGATGTTGATTTATCGTGGTTGAGATCAAAATATTTCATATAATCAAGTTATTTTTACGCAGTTTAATCCCCTTCAAAAAATATCGCATTGTAAGGAAAACTTGGTGAACATTTTGTATGATCATATTCAAGAAATTCCGTTGGTAGTGAAATATGAAATTCAGTGAAGATAATTTATGTTCTTGCATTTCATTGTTGATACAGATCTGATGGTGCACTGTTTTGCATTTCGGAAGAGAAGTGCTAATTTAATAAATAGCAGCAGCTGTGAGTTTACTTTTCCATTAATATATGATAGCGAAATTCTGTACTTCACTGAATATGTTCGTCAAAGTTTTTTGCTACTTTTATTTTTTTCGCCATTTTTTTGTCAAAATATACAAGTTTTTATGTGAGTCTGGAAATGAAGTATCAATTTATGACTGGAAAATTGCGTTATCACAAACAACAACTAATGCAATTTTTGTAAAACAACATTTGGAGGCTGTGACTGGTAAAGAAGTTGTGTTGCGCAGTGTTCATTTTCTGTCTTTGCATATTTTCATTTGTTTCATCGGCTTCACAGAGAGAGTACTCTTCACTGAATCGTTGACTGGTTTTCTCGTCAAGGTCGGTTGGTACGGTTTGTTTTCTTAAGGATTAATTTATTCATTTTGGAAAGAAATTAGTGGTATTTTGCAACGAAATGAAAAATTAATAGAATTAATATTTCCATTAATATAAGATGGAAGAAATGATAAAATGCAAATGATGACGTTAAGAGTCGAGAACAATCTACTATTATCATTTTCATTTGAACAATTGACATGGTAATTTTATGAAGAATTATTTTGTTTAGATAAATCACTATTAGTGAATTGAAAATATATGTAATATATATATATATATATATATAGCTTTGTTTGCATCAAAATTTTGAGTAAGCACTACTATTTACAGAAAAGAAAAAGTAAAGCTGAAAATGATTCTGTCTTTTAGATGAAATATTTTTTATCCACTCATTGCTCTCCATTTTTCATAAAAGTTCTTTAGAAGAAGATTTAGTGCTGAAATGTGCTTGGTATTGTTCTTTTTCAGTACTATTTTTCTCTTTTACAGCTGAAATTTTGATCACTATATCGAAATTATTAAATTAAATTTGAAATAGTGATATGAATTAATTGTAGAAGTTCAATATTCATTCTATTGTCTCGTGTATTATTAGTGGCTCGAAAAAGTTGTTAAGAAAGTATTCATAGTAAAAATGGGGAAATAAAGTTAAATGTTGTAAAAATTGTTTGCTGAAATACAAAAAAGCTGATATTTAATTATACGAAAATAAAATGTTTTGCTTGCTATCATTAGTAACAAGTGATAATTTTTTATTTGTATTATGAAAATCTCAAATAAAAGCAAGAAACATGGATTACATCATAAGTAATCCAACTCGTTTTAATCATACATTCTCACCAAATCACTTTTGCCCATCTCGTTTTGTCACACTGTTGCTAGAAATCTCTTTGCAGTGGTCAAACAATTGCCAGAATTTTTTCGCTCACTTCAGTTACTTCAAATTTTATCAGATCATACTGATTGAAATATCTTCACGTCTGAATGATTGGCTTATGTACTATTTATTATGAAAATTTTAGAAAATTTTTTCTACCGCTGCTGAATGAAACAAAGAAACAGAAGCGAAGTTGCTAAAACTTGAATTATTACGAATAATGGAGCTAATTTATTTTGTATATTGTTATACAAAATAACGGTAGTGTATAAAATTTATAGCAAGTTTTGAGAGCTATTATAAATGTGATGGTACTAAATTTGATTTTGACAGAACAGTAATTTTAATGGGCCTCTGAAATGCAGAAAAACTACAGAGATTAAGGAAAAGCCATAGTTGAACATCGACTCTTGAATGAAAAACTTTTTGATCTATTTCGACTTGCAGATTCTTACTATGAACAATATTTGATATGTTATGATTAGAAAACTTGTCCTTTTAGATTTGTTTGGTTTTTAGCATTCATTTTTTTCCTTTTTTTCATTTATTGTCTTAAAATAGAAAAATGCATTTCAGAAGATTTTAAAATGTTAAACTATTAACAAATAAAGGTAGAAGAAGAAGCTTACTACAGCAAACATTTGAGGAATAAATTGAAAAGTATATTTAAACATCCTTGCAAAACAAAATTTAGTACGATTGAGAAGGAATTTTCTGTAAATGTGTATTACAAATGCATGAGCAACAATATTGATAACTGTGTCATTTCTGATCATTGTAATAGATATTGGCATTTGGATGTCAGACTCATTTATTTTCTCTTTCTCGTTCATATTTTAAATTATTTAAAGTAATATTTGCCACATAGATTTTGATTAATTTGTTTTCAATCATTAGAGGTAAACTTATTTATGATCAACTTTAGTGTATGTGATGCAAAGATTTTTTCCATACTCTGCTAGATTACTGATGATTTATATATATATAAATAAATAAATGAATAAATAAATGCGTATATATATGTTAAAAATGAATGTGCAATGCAACATGCAGCATGCACTATGTATTTGCAATCTTAAACGATGGTCATACATTTATATGTAAAATATATGTATTTCGATGTACGAGTCTCAGTGTTCGTCTATTATTATCATCTGTTACTGTTTAATAGAACTTGTTAATAACATGCTCAAAAGTTAGCAATTAATATTGAAATATGCGGAATCAATTTTTATCAAATGGTATATTTATTACATTTCAGTTTATTATGAGATGCATAATAATGAAAAAGATTGTACATTAAAAAAAGTGTCACTTGCTCACAATAATTCAAAGCTTCCTGAAAGTAATGCTTCATCCATGTCTCCACCAGACGGTTTGCTTTGTATAACTTTTTTTTTTTACGTCATAAAAGTTTTTGATTCATCAACAAACAAATTAATTGTGATTAATCCAAGATTTTTGGCTTCTAAAAAATTTATATTTAGTTTAGTTATAATATTTACACATGTGTCATGTATTCATTTGATTGTAGTACAAACATTTTCAGGTGGATATGGATGGGTTATTGTATTTGCATCTTTCATTGCCAATATTGTAGTTGACGGAATCATTTTCTCAGCAGGACAAACACTTGTTGAAATTTGGGAAAAAGATTTCCAAACCACTGCAATGCAAGCTTCAATAACTCAGTCTTTCTTGGCTTCTTTTTACATGCTTGCGGGTGGGTCATCACAATGCATGCTTTTAATTTGGAATTTATTAGTACATAAAAAAGCTAAATTTTGTCAAATTTTAGTTTACAGCGTTTTTTGTACCTGAAATGATTAATTTTTGTTAAAAATTCTAAACTGCATGCCACTGCAGTTTAGAATTTCATTTCTTGCATTTTCTTGAGATTTCTCATTTTAGTTTTATTTACAATTTATATTAATTATATAATTAATGTTAAATATTTTAAGGTCCTCTGGCAAGTGCATTAGCAACTTCATTTGGTTGTCGTTTAGTAACGGTTGCTGGTGCTTTAATGACATTTGTTGGATTTATTTTGTCGTCATTTGCACCCTCCCTTCAAGTGCTTTATTTTACTTTCGGTATTATTGGAGGTAAAAGCTTCATCAATGTTGTCACCAGACAGTTTGATATGCTACAAATTATATCCATGTTGACTTATTATTGTATTCATCGAGAATTTCTTTTTTTTTTTCAATTTTAAGCTTTATCACTTTTTTGATCCTTCAAGTCTTAATCATATTTGATTAAAATCTAATGAGAATTCAAATAAACTGCTATGTCTACATTCAGGAACTGGTTTTGGACTTGTTTATTTGCCATCAATATTAATTGTAAATCAGTATTTTCAAAAACGAAGAGCGTTCGCAGTGGGAATAGCTGTATGTGGTTCCGGCATTGGTACCATATTGTTTTCGCAGGTATTCTTAGCTCTTTAAAATTCATGCATTATTTAATGAATAAAACTTCTTGTTTCTTTCAGATAATTCCATTTTTGTTGAAGTTTTCCAATAATAACTGGAGATATCTCATTATTTATGTTGCATTCATCACTCTTATATCAGGTGTCAGTGGTTTGTGCTACCGGAAAGTATCATCTGTTACATCTGAATATGAAAAGGTTTGCTTATATTTTTCTCCAAATTTGTCAAATATGAACCTCAGAATTGCTGTACTGTAGTAATTTCTATTTTAAATTAGGGATACAACATTTGTAATTTAGATATTTACTGCAGCGTCGTTTAGCCTTTTTTATTAAATTTTAAAACATGAGTGATTCGAATCATCAAATTGCAGTACTGTAAAAACCTACTACTCTTTTTTCATGCCTATTCTGGAAACGTAAATAACTTGAATTCAGTTTTAAAAAAATTAAACACCGAAAATATGCACACTGTATTACTAAAATTACTCTCATTAAGTTAAAAATTGAGCATATTTCAAAACTCAGTTTCCTGTAGGCTGAAAGAACTTCGCTGATTATTCTCGAAACAAAATCTTACCCAGAAACCGAGGGAAAAAAAGAAACTCTTGAGGTTCTATTGAAGCTATTATTTCAAATTTTATTTTTAAATCGAATTATCTTGAAAATTTTGAAAAGCGAATTAATTCCATAAAACTTTTTAATTATGTTCTATAAATTTTTTTGTGGTTAAATTGAATTATAACAAAATAATTTTAGCAATTATGAGTAATTAGGGGTAAAAGTTAAATTTTTACAACTGTATTCTTGTAGTTTGATATAAAAATTTTGTCGAAAATATATTTCGAGAACAATTATTTAAAATAATAAGCGTCTTCATGTAAAAATTTCTCAGGACTTACTATAAATGCATCTAGCTGATACATGAACAAGCCAGTAAAATAGCGCTATTTTTTAGAGTTTCTCATGTTTGTTTCATTTGAGCGTTGTTAAAATTACTACGTTTATTTTGAGAAGGAAGATACAAAATCTGGTTTGTCTCATCAAGAAATCCCTGATCATGCTAATCAGCTACCTCGATCAATCATCAACTGCTCGATACCGATGAGTAATTTACAAAACAGAATATCTCGTAAGTAGTTACTTTTTAGTCACTAAAAGTGACGTATATATATTGCAATTAGGAAAAAATTATTGAGTATTAATGACACAGAATCATCATTATTCACAACTTGAGGTTGTGAGTAATGATGATTCTGTATCATTAATACTCAATTGAACATTCAAATGTAATGACTAAAAATTCCAAACAATATATTTATTTGCCGCATTTAAAATTTGAAAAGTATAAAATTTTTAATAACTGTAAGTTGCAGAGCAAAATTTTACCATCAAATCCAAAATTGAAATTTGTTTTATCATATTTTGCTATCATGACACTAAATTTTTACACGATTCTAGTTCAAGATCTTTTTATTAAAATTTGAACATAATTGGAGTTTATCATGCAATTTTCTCATTCATGTACACAAAAGTTACAGCGCACGAAACAAACTTAACGATGACTTCAACAATAACAACACAAATAATACCACACAGAACTAGGAAGCAATTTGTTTTTCGATTGGTACTTTTATGCATGATATTTGTAGTCATCCATAATTTTAATCATTATCAAATGCATCTTTTTAATATTTAAAAAGAAGAGAAAAAAACTATTCTACCGGATTAGAACATGTTCAGTCAGGAAATCTTAGATTATAAAATGTTTTGAATTATACTCTGAATATACAACTATGTCTTTAGATTCTTCTGTTTCAAACACTGAAACAAGTAACTTGACTTGATTTTTGTTACAGTACTTGATATGAGTTGGATTTGTGATACGTATTACATACTACTGCAATAACAAACCAATAATTTTTGTAAATTTGTTTACTAATAATTTTGTGAGTCGTAGAAAAATAATTTTCAGTTTGTTGCTTCAATGATTGATACATGTTTGTTGTCTGATATGCGCTTTATACTAATTGCAGTCACTGCTTTTTTAACCGTTTGCTGTTTGTTCGTTCCGTTTATTTTTCTTGGAAAACAGGTTAGTTACACTTTTATCTCATGCATGGAAATGCATAACGATAATTTTCGAATATGTAGAGAAAATTTTAAGATTTACATGTGTTGAGTATGATTTAGATAATAAAATTGACTGTATGTACATTCCCTACGAAACTGCACTGTTTTGTTTAATTTATCAAGTACATCAATCACTCATAAAATAATTAAATTTTTAGGCGAATACAGTAGGTGCAAATCAAAGTCAGCAGTCATATTTGATATCAGTAATGGGACTTGTGAATGTTTTTGGGCGCATATTGTCCGGGTTTGTTTTAAATGGCTGGCATGTTTAATTTACTTCGTTGTTGGACCACAATTATTCGTTTATGCTTGTATAGGCTACTATCAGACTTACCAACCGTGGACACTTTATTTCTTCATAATGTCAGCATAATCACTGCGGGTATTGCAACTTGTCTGGTACCGCTACTGACAAAGTATTGGATGTATGTAATGTACACAATACCATTTGCATGGGGTGTCGGTATGATTTCGTTAATTTTAATCGTTTCCAGTCATTCAAATCATTTGTAATTTATAAATATACATATTGATTATTTAATTCCATTATATCTTCTGTCTCATTTCTAATAAAGTAAGCTAGAAATTATTTGCAGCTTGTTTTGCAACACTTCGAAGTGTTATTTGCATCGAGCTACTTGGTATCAAAAAATTTTCAAGTGCCTTTGGAATGATGATGCTCTGCATGGGTATAGCTGCATTGATTGGTCCACCATTTGCAGGTAGTTGCTTCATGATAGCTGTTTATGCATTATGACCTAAATATATTAGCTTAGTAAGTAGAAATACTAAAACACTGCGTTTCTTTTATTTTTTCAAAAAAATTAACGTAATAATAACTTTGAGTGTATTACACAACAATACTAGTCAGACGTGCAGACACAGTTCCTAATTTTAACGTTTTTTGACAATTCATTTCAGCCTTTTTGAAAGATATGAGTGGCAATCTCAATTTGTCATTTTATGTGATGGGGTCACTGCTGACATTAAGCGGAGTGCTTTGCATTCCACTTCGAATGGTCAAGCCAAAAATAACAAATTCACTAAAATTATGTAATACTGGGCAGCTAAAATTGCAATCTATGCATGGCACAGAACGATTCTGAATGCAACGATGCAAATAGTATTTATTTAGTCTCTTTAGGCATTATGCTCTACTTGTTTCTCTCATTTAACGATATTACATTGTAATTAAAGCATTATTATTTTGTCGAAGTATTTTGCTGATATCTTCACAGCATGCCTTGTTGTAGATCAGATAAGAGAAAGTAAAAGAGAAAATAGAGATCTAATGCTCGTGCTTTTTCAGTTTTTCATTTCTTGATCACCATAAGTAGGTTTATGCGATCAAGAAATGAAAAATGATTTGTAGTTTAAAGCAAAGAAGTATTGGTGACTCAGTCAACTGCTAATCTGCTGGTAATAGTTCAAACTTCTGCTCATAAGAGTAAATGCTAAAGGCGAATCCTCTAAAATAGTCAATTTAAATACTGAATTTTGATTTTCAATAGTTGTTGCATCAAATTCATCATACTCATTACAGAGTATTTTACCAATGAAAGTTGTACTCGTAAGATAACTGGGTTTTTATTGAAATGCTGTGAACACTTACAATACTGTTTGCATTTACACGATTTGAAGAAAATTAAAATATTTTAGTATCGGTAACTACAATAGGGTAAGAAAGATGTTATAATAATTCCACCTTAAACAATTGGATACGATAGTTTCAAAGTAAGATTGGATAAGATAGTCTCAAAGTAAGACAAGAAACATTCGCTATATTTGATGGTGGTAAATACTGAGCTACAATTAACAAGTCAGAGTTATGTCTGAAAGATTGGCAAACATATTTAAAAATCAACTTGCTTAAAACATAAAAAATAAGCGTTAATAGAACAACAAGATTCCGTTAACACCAGTGTGAAAAAGTAGTAGTATGCGAAGTGCTTTCTCAACCTTTGATGTTGACCAATATTTCAATATCTCTGCTTTCTCAGTAGAGCAGTTATGACAAAATGTAGTCACCGCTCGATATAAGATCAATGCAGACGTTTCCAACATTATCAGAGTGGCCATTTTTGCTGAAAGTTTATGGGATTTTGAGGCAAGAACCAATGGAAAGTACATAAATTACAATAACCAATTTTTATACTTATATTTTCAGAAACTGGAAAACAAAAATCTAGGAATCCGAAAATGTTTTGAACATTGCAGAACAATTGTTCAAAAATTAGTGTGTACAGAATTGATACCACAAAGAGGAATACTGTGCTGATTTGGTGGTAGCCTATTAAGCATCTGAGTATAATTCATAATCTGAACGACAAGACACAACATCAGCCATACTATAGAATTGGAATCACTTGCAACTGTTCCCACTATGTATGTAGCTCTAAAAATGTTAATACTGATCAGTTCTGCATCGTTTATCACCTAGATGAATCTGCAAATTTCTTCCTAATCAAGAAAATAACTTTATTTATCAATTCATTTCCATTCCTAGTTAATTAAATCGATGGAATAAAATGATACAGATGATAAACAGTATCTATCTGTGAATTATAACAAAGTTTTGATTTAGAACATCATGTGCAAAGTATTTAGTAATTTTAGTCCACTTATACAGCGGTAATGAAATCATAATCACGTGTAACTGCAAAGCATGCTTCGCAAAAAAATGTAATGAGAACGAATGAGAATCATTGCTATTTGACTTCAGAAGACATGAACTTAACTAACTAACTAACGTTGCCAAGCAAAACAGTGGTAAGGCAACAGTCATCAGATAATAATATCCTACTCTCCGAAATTTTATCTCAAAACGTATTATTGATCGCATCAAATCGGGTTGATCCCTAAAAGTTTAAGATAAGCAAATATTCAGAATTACAAACCTCTTAACATAAATAATAAAAAGATATACACTACTAAAAACAGCTCTTACGCGCTCTCATTAACCGTAATTTTGCCAAATCGAAGGATGAAGAGTGGCGTTGCAGATAAATTGGTAACTTCAAATTCACCCGAACGAATGATTCTTTTCTCATCCATCAAACTACCAAATATACTTGATTTTCGGGTCAGAGAAGTCCATCTCGAGAACCTTAGTCTGCAAATTACCACTTAGAATCAATAGTACTCTTCTTACCGTGCATAACTTCGTGAAATGAATTTTACATAAAATACTAAATTTTAAAAATTGCCTAAATCTTCTAAAACAAACTGAAATTGCAACATCAAGCAGTGTTTCAAATATCTGTAACTTAATAACTACTAGTTACCATTTGCATCATTAACATAAAAAAGTTGTATTGTTTGAAGTCCATAAAAATAAAGATACCTGGACATAGGCAATGGTGTAAACATAGTCAGCAAGCAACTTTGAATGTCATTAGGATATGCAGAGAAATCAAGAGAACAAGTTGAACGAACTGTCAAAATGACCTAAAGCACGATTCTATAGACTTTTCTTATTCAATGATCACAATACAGAGCCACATGCGTTGTAGTCAGAACCAAAATATAAATAATTCTAGGAGCTATCACGGCCAAATCTTTTCTTAGAGTTAAAACAATGTAGTCAGATAAACTATAAGAATATACAATGTCACGAAAATTGTTTTTTTCACTATTAAACCAAGTTCAGAAATTCATTAGCAACTCACTTGTGCATAAACGGCACCATTGCTGATTAAAGTCACTTCGGTATTGAAATACTGCATTGCTTGATCAGTAATTTTTCTATAATTTGACATATATATATATATAT